CGGGATTTTGTTATGGAGCAAATTTAGTGGGATTTTTTTTTCGGATGGGGTTTAGTGTAGCGGGATTTCGTCATGGATGGTGTCGTCCATGGTCAGCCTCACCACTCGGCTACGAATGGACTGAGCGCTCTTTCTGGAGCGCTATGACCCCCTATGGAAATCATAATGATACACCGCCCCTCCCCCTATTTCCCCTTTCCGTTTTCTATCGCTAACGTGAAGCGCGTGGGAAAGGATGGTACTCAGTGGTTGTATCGTTTGTTGGTTAGTTTTCTTTCTTGCTTACTTTCTTGTTTAGTCCGGGCGATATCTCTGGCCCTTTTTGGATTAGGAAGCTGATATTTAGACACAATGTTAACCAAGTACTTTTGCAAAAACATATTTTTTTAGTTTGACTAATGTATACGGTACTCCCCATTCCGTCTCCAGGTGTAGCGCGAAGTGGGCATAGCTAATTATATACGAGTATAATTTGAAAGTACCAATACTTGTTCTTATTTATGTTTTTTTTCTCTCTGTGTATCCAAATCTACATTCATTTGTGCAACAATAATATACGACAAAGCGAGCGGGGTAGCGGCACTATATCACATTCAGAATCTCCTGACCGACTGTACTGTATGTTTGTCCAGTCATATGTAAGGGACGTGACCACCTCTCCAGTAAACTGTTCCGGGCGTCCTCTCAGCGCGCATTGTATTGTTTTGTGTTAGTTTGGTCTGTGTACGTGTCCTTATCCCTGCAGCCTAACTTACAGTATACTTTATATTAGCTTAAATTGATGGTTAAAATAAGATTAAATGAGAAGTATAACCACGAATACGGAATCATATATACTAAAAGAATCCAGATTAACAATATTTTCCCAAACCGATTAGTGTTTAATATTTTAGTTGTTTTCCCATGCGGAAAATAATAGTTATAACTTAACATAAAATATCAGATAATAGGTTTTATTACTTTGAAATAGGACAACATTATCTCCGCAGGGTGATGGGGATTTTGATGTCCAGTTACAGTAGCGTGTGGTTATCCCTCCTCCTAGTCACAGGCCTGGCACTTGACATTATTAGGGACCTGCCACGTTTTGCTATAAACAGATGAAATGTACCGGGAACTTTACCCCCACACACTCACCATTCTCTCACTTTATGTAACTTGACAAAACCTATGACCCTTCAGGCTTTTACGCCCTTAATGTACGAGTCATAAAGGCAAGTATGAACTTTGCATACTTCCCAGATGGGCGCTGTAAACGCTTCTGCGCTTCACCTTGCACAGGATGTAAGGGGGTGCCCAATAAACTAGCCCCCTCGGGGGCAAATCAGTAGCGTGTGGTGTGCAAACCAAGTGTCATAACTTTTAGGTGGAGTGTGTAGTGGCAGCCAGCAACAGCGCCATCATGCAGTAAAGATGTCGGATGTACCGCCCTTTAAATGTTTCCGGAGGTTTCAGAGAGTAATGTTGACTTAGTAAACGTTTTATACCGAAACATCTTTCGCTGACATGTATAAAACAACTACTGTACGTAAAATGGTGACGCTCTTTAACTTGTTCACTAAGGCAGGTGTTCGACTGGTAATACATTCGAACAGAAATTCATTCGACTAACTTCTCACTCGTCATTAAAATTATGGTGATTAAAACAAAGTGGCTGACGGTACAGTATTTTATCCCAAACTACTGCTGTACTTGACACGCTCTCTGGCAGGTCTGACACACCTTTACCGGGACCTCAACCTTGACGAACACACGGTCCATGGTAGAGGTGAGGTGATGATGGTGGTGGCAATGGTAATGGTGGTGACGATGGTTGATAGTGGGTGGAGGTGATGGTAGTGGTAATGGTGACGATGGTGATAGTGATGGAGGTGATGGTAGTGGTAATGGTGACGATGGTGATAGTGATGGTAGTGATGGAGGTGATGGTAGTGGTAATGAGGGGTAGTGGTAGTGGTGACGATGGTGATAGTGATGGTAGTGATGGAGGTGATGGTAGATGGTGAATGATGGGGAGGTGATGGTGGTGGTGGTAATGGTGACGATGGGATAGTGATGTAGTGGTGAATGGTAGAGGGTAGTGGTAGTGGGTGACGATGGTGATAGTGATGGTAGTGATGGAGGTGATGGTAGTGGTAATGAGGGGTGGTAGTGGTAATGAGGTAAGTGGTAATGACGATGGTGATAGTGATGGTAGTGATGGAGGTGATGAATGGTTAGTGGTAATGGTGACGATGGTGATAGTGATGGTAGTGATGGAGGTGATGGTAGTGGTAATGAGGGTAGTGGTAGTGGTGACGATGGTGATAGTGATGGTAATGATGATGGAGGTGATGGTAGTGGTAATGAGGGTGGTAGTGGTAGTGGTAATGGATGACCACAGGGAGTAGTATGAAGGTCACACAAATTTACACAACCCTGGACACGGATAATTCTTAAAATGTTATTAGGTGATAATTGTTTCTCATGTGGGTGAATGAACCTACCACAGCCACGACAGAGTCTTGGTTCTCATTAAACATCATCAAGGCAGTTAGTTAGTTAGTTATGTTGATGGGGCTGTTCCAGGAAGCCTCTTTGAATCACGTGAAGATTAAGGGTACAGGATGGTGGTGGTGGTGGTGGTAGTGTGTGGGGGCTAGGGTTGTGGTAGAAGATAATGGTGGTGGGGGCTAGGGTTGTGGTAGAGAATGGTGGTGGTGGGGGTGGGGGCTAGGGGTTGTGGTCGAAGATAATGGTGGTGGGGGGCTAGGGGTGGTAGAGAATGGTGGTGGTGGGGTGGGGCTAGGGTTGTGGTAGAAGATAATGGTGGTGGGGCTAGGGTTGTAGAGAATGGTGGTGGGGTGGGGGGTTGTGTGACGATAATGGTGATGGGGCTAAGAGGATGGTGGTGGGGGGGGGGCTAGGGTTGTGGTCTAGGATGGTGGTGGTGGGGCTAGGGTTGTGGTCTAGGAGGTGGTGGTGGGGGCTAGGTTGTGGTCTAGATGGTGGTGGTGGGGGCTAGGGTTGTGGTAGAAGATGGAAGTTTGCGCTGAGTGGTAGAGGGAGTAGGGTGGAAGGTCATGCACAGGAATGAGTAATCATGCACAGGCAGTATCTCTTATCTTATCACTGATGAAGCTTAGGTTTGGAGGGTACTGCTGGGTGAAGCTAAGTCCTGGTGAGTGCTGCTGGGTGAAGCTAAGGCCTGGTGGGTGCTGCTGGGTGAAGCTAAGGCCTGGTGGGTGCTGCTGGGTGAAGCTAAGGCCTGGTGGGTGCTGCTGGGAGAAGCTAAGGCCTGCTGGGTGAAGCTAAAGCCTGAAGAGTATACTGCGCTAGGGCTTGCTGGGTGAAGCCAAGGCCTGGGAATACACACCCTGCTGCATTGCATGCTGCTACTGCTGGGTGAAGCTAAGGCTGCTGGGTGAAGCTAAGGAAGCTAAGGCCTGGTGGGTGCTGCTGGGTGAAGCTAAGGCCTGGGTGGCTTGAAGGGCTCTGAAGGTGAAGCTATGACTGCGCTGGGCTTGCTGGGTGAAGGCCTGCTGCACTAGGCCTGCTGAAGCTAAAGCCTGAAGGGTATACTGCACTAGGCCTGCTGTGCTGCTGGGTGAAGTTAAGGCCTGAAGGGTATACTGCACTAGGGCCTGGTGAAGTAAGGGTGGGTATACTGCACTAGGGTGAAGTTAAGGCCTGCTGGGTGAAGCTGAGCTGCACTAGGGCCTGCTGGGTGAAGCCAAAGCCTGAAGGGTATACTGCACTAGGGCCTGCTGGGTGCTGCTGGGTGAAGTTAAGGCCTGAAGGGTATACTGCACTAGGGCCTGCTGGGTGAAGCTAAAGCCTGAAGGGTATACTGCACTAGGGCCTGCTGGGTGAAGCCAAAGCCTGAAGGGTATACTGCACTAGAGCCATTCACGTACGCACAGGGAACGCCACAAGCAACCGAAACAAACCAAAAGGTCTTTAAGGTCAAAAACTCATGGGAAGGTTCCCTCTCAAGCCAAGCTCACTGACGTCACCAATAGCAACGCAAACAATGAATTGAATTAGTCAGTCTCTTACAACTTCTCACGACCCAGGAACGCCAAACTCAACACTGGCCTAAATTGAGTATTTCCTAATTTCTATATTTTGTCTATATGATCCTTGGGGTATATCCGTGATGCTAAAACATACATTGGAAAATATTATTTGTTTTATTAACCTCTACAGTGATTTTTTTTTTAAATATTAATGCACTTGAAACAAAACAATGTTCCGCTTGTAGATGATAATTTTTCTAGAGGGAAATCTGTCACCACGGGAGGGAGATAAGATAAACTAGAACGAAATATTTTTGATTCTTTTAGTGATAAGTTTACCTCACCTCACCACCGTGCATTGGACCTGTTGTTTAAAGCAACGTGGCCAGCGTTAGAAAAGCACCACGAATATAATATATTTCTTAGTTCATGTATTTTAAATTCAGACGACACTGACTTAATCTAATGATCTATGAACTATGCTAACCTTGACCACTACTCGAAAGAAATGGTCATTTGATCACTGAAAAACACACACGCAGCTGGTGCCCTCAAACTCAGATGGCATGGCCCATTGGCCCAGCGGTTTAAACACGGGGTATAATTGGTCAGTGTTTGGACCAATTAGACACTCATTACTATTACAAGGTGACGTCCATGGTCAAATTAGAATTGTAATTTACAAATAATATTCATTCATAAAGCTAAGTTTTAAAACAATGAATTTATTACAAACATTTAAAAATTTTCTTATAGTGCTGAATATAAAATTGACATGTCATTTAAAAGAAATTAGAAAGAAGGGAACAGATACATAATTCAATACAATTCAAGACTGTGTATGTGTGTGTGTGTGTATGTTGATGTGATTTTGGTCTTACTTTTATCCTCTTCGCCAGCAGTGCAGTATTTAATATGTGGTTTTAAATGCAATATATTAACTGAATTATTATTATTATTATTATTATTATTATCTGATAATTTTTTCCGTCTGATCATCAGCTGTGCCGGAAAGTGGTCGCCGTACCAAGCGTTCGTCAGCAGCGTTCGTCGCTGGCTAGCAGCAAGATTCACTTCAGGAAGCGTCAGCAGTGTGGGTTCGCCAGTCAGCAAGAGACCCCAGCAAGGTGTGAGGAGACAGGCCCGTCTTGATACGAGTGCTGAGACTGAGGGGAGTGAGGGAACACGCTGACAGCAAGAGGGTGTTGTGTCACACTGCTCCCTCCATCCTCCTTCTCCCTCACTCACCCCCTCACTCACGCTTCCTCCTCCATCATGTCCTCCGCTGCTGTTACGACTGTCATGGAGGGCTCTCGAAGCGCCCAGGTGTGTGTGTATGTGTGTGTGTGCATGCGTGGAACTTTAGTATGGGCGAGGCTTATCACATAATATTCTAACACTAACACAATTACGATATTACTGTAACAAGAAATTGTGATATTAGTTTACTGTTGTGATAAATGAGTGATAACAACAACACACACACACACACACCTCGCTATACATCACCTTTTTTCTTATGCCCCCACCTTAGTGTCCGTTCGTCCGTCCGTCCGTCCGTGTATGAATATGCCTCTTCAATAAACATCACAAAGGCAGCTCCATGTGTTATGCTTGTTGGTGAATGTCAGTAATCACCGTCGTCCGTCTCTTCCACTCAGTAACTCCCAGTATTTATCTCGTCTTTGTTACTCCCCATTTTCTTTCACAAGAAAACATTGAAATGAATCAGGAGAAAGAATATTTCTCCTGATTTATTTCAATGTTTTCACGGTGTCTAGGAGTCAGTTATGTCACCGTTTCCTCTCTCTCTTCGCTGTAGGAGATGACGGCTCTACGGGATGTGGCTTACGTCATCTGCTTCGGTCATTTTCCTTGTGAAGATGACGCCTGTGCACCCAACCACCAACGAAAAGCTGTCAACCTCGAGCACACTTCAGTCGATACCTTTAACATTTCTGTCTCCTCCGAGCCGAGTATCTCCAGTGATGATCCAAACCCTTTTTCCGATGACATGAATCCCTTTACTGAGGATCAGAATCCCTTCAAAGATGATGACCGAAATCCCTTTACTGAGGATCAGAATCCCTTTAATGAAGACGACGATATCCCGGGTGAAGACGGGGATCAAAACACCTCCAGTGAACACCAGACTAGTTTAAAGGAGTCCTCTGTCTCCAGTCAGAAATCCCACACTAGCAACCAGAGCATCACCAAACCCCCCACCACCCCAGAGAAGGGCCACACAGACTACCCTCAGGTGCACGCTACCCCCGCTACTCCCCCAGAGTCACCACCACCAAGAGAAGTCTCCTCCAATTCCTCACCACTTCCCACACCCCCTCCAGTAGATCCCTCCAAATCCCCTCCCCTCCCCCCCACGCCTTCAATAACAACTCCCTCCAAGACGCAAGATGCGAGCACTGTCTCTCGGGCCTACGTCAAAGAGGTCATCGCTGAGGCGTTCAACTTGACCCCGCTTGACCTACGGAGAATGGTGGAGGAGACTGGCAATAAGGTCAGTTGTACATTGTTATTGTTATGACGGTAGTTATCAAGGGCAGGTGTATATTTTTACTGTTTTGAAGACAGTAATTTGAAGCGCGAGTGAGAACTAATAAGCTTTACATACTGTAATTAGCCGAACCAAATCTAATCTAGCAGAACCTACATAACACAATGTCAAATAACGTAACAACCTAACTTTTTTTTTTACGGGGAATAGCCCACCAGAGTACAGGTCATCGACTCACAACGGGGCCCATAATTTAACCTACATTAAACTAACCTAACATAATCTGTCAATACTGTACCTCATCGAGGTACTGTCTGTCGTGACACCGTCGTATCACCAGCACCTGTCTGCGCTCTTGAGGTGCGGCAGAGGGCGCCTTACATAACATATTTAGATAACGTATCATGATAGTAAGTGGCAGGTCCTCCTCCCTCTTGTTGGGTCATCTGGAATTCTGGGTCGGTATTTGGCCCTATTACTTATTTTATAAAATGGGTCAGATGCCATCGTCTCCGCCTTCGTGTTAAGTTTCGGTGCCCTTTTAGGTTAGGTTGGGGTCATCTACGGCTGAGTGAGAGTTGCTGGTGACCTGCTGTCACTGAACCAGCTGCAGGAGGTGCACTGCCTTTTGTATCCCTGTCTGGTAACCTCTATCTTTGTTTGTTTGTAATGCACCGACCAACAAGAGAAATGTGTGGATTAATGATGTTATGTCTTTACTTAGTTGTTTATTGATTTGTAAAACGCATCTATTTATCCAGAGCATGAATGCAAATACAGTAGATGATAAATAATAGTAAATTAATCAATCTAGTATAACCCTTCTTCATCAGTCACAGCGGAGGGCTGGAGAAAATAATAATCATACTAATAACTATAATGATGATAATGATAATAATATTAATAATTAGGAACATAAAATTCTCTCTTCATTTTGCCGTTTTTCAATCCCTTATCAGTTACCTTACAGTATTTTTTTCTGCTTTCGTGTTCCTCTTCCACAACAAGACTCAAGACATCCACCCTATCAGTTCATACAATCTAGTATCACCCATCAACAACACCTCGAACCCCAGCAACCATTTGACACCATTTTACCCACTCGTGCTCGCACAATACTTCTTCCTTGGATGTTCCTCTTCTCCCCCCTACCCTCCTTTCGCTCATCATACAGTACAGTAGTTTCGGCCACCTTTTCTTAGTTTTTTTTTATTTTATTTATTTATTTATTTTTTTTTTATATACACGGGGATTATCCCATCCGGGCACAGGTCACTGACCCACATCGGGGCCTGGGGGGCGAAAATGTAATAATAATAATAATAATAATAATAATAATAATGATAAAGAACCATAAAGAAATACAAAATTGAAAAAAGATCAAGAGTGAGAAACAATATATGTATGTTGTGTTGTCAATGGTAAGAGAAACAATTGAGACCCTGCAATTATGTGTAAATGAGGCAAAAAGTCAGATCAGCAACCTGGGACTTGGTCACAATTTTTGTGATGCCATATGGCAGCAGGGTCTACCATCAGACAATACATTATGCTTCCAATATCTTACACCCACACGTGTTAACACCAGTTTTGCTTTGTGTGTTTATTGGTAATTGCGTATATGACTTGCTTCTGGAAGACTTGTGGAAGGGTGGGGGGGGTGGTAATGCTATGGTGCGCAAAAAATTATCTCAATAAATTATGGTTTCGTATTTATCGTTCTCCGACAACCTACTGTACGTGTGATCACATAATATTGACTGATGTACAGTACTATTGTTCGTGTTTCTCGTATATGGAGATTGATGATATGCACTACGTATAACAATAAAAATAAATAATTGGAGTACATTAAAGAAATATAGTGGGGACAGCATTTTTAGAATTGGTAAAACAACTATGGTGATGTAAAGTTTATGCTGCTCTAATGCTTTTAACGTCCGTGTTGGCGTCACCGCTTCCGTCCAGATTTACTGTATCTCTGAGGAGACTGTCTGTGTGTCATGTCCGCATTAAGCTGACTTATGTATTTAGTGAGGAAACCCAACTGATAAGAAATTTCAAAATAAATGAAATAAAAATGAGTTACATAATGCTCACCACTCGCAGAGGATTTTATAAAATTAATGGAGGCGCCAGACCACAAAGCATTAAAGAACATTGAACTTTTAAATTGTAAAGGTTACACAGTGACATCCCCGTGATTCCAAAACACCTGGTCGTCAGTAAAGAGGAATTTAGTTCATGTGTCTGTCTTGAAAAAAAAAAGCGACCCTTCTAGTGTGATTATGTGCTGGTCTATGGATGACAACCTAATCATAATTTCATTATCCACCAAACACCCTAAAATCACTAGCCTTGAATACCGTTTATTATGTTTGAGCACAGTAATTCGTGTTATCTTGGTTGGTAAGATCCTCCTTGGCAGTGTTATTTACTTGCCTCATAAACTTTTGTCTCTGGATCCTGCTGCTGTCACTGGCTGAATATGTTTATCATTTGTCTGTCGGTCTCGTCACATCTCGGCGATTGTTGACATATCTTGGCTATTTGTCAGCTTATTAGGCGCTCTAGGATACATTCGACCTGCAACTGAGAAGAGTCACAGGTGCAAGGATCCCAATAGGTGCTTATTTTACGGGGCACATATTAACCCCTAACATACACAGTCTTCTTTATCAGACTCCTGGGATGTGTAGGCAGTGAGGAGGATAAGAGAACGTATGTACACCAGCGCCACAGTGCAATAGTAACTTCACTTTGGTCGCCATCTTTGTGATGTAACTTAAGTGGCCCAAGTTGTTGCGTCTAATGGGGGGGGGGGCGCACATGATCAGGCTGTGTGTGTGTGCGTGTGGAGAGATAAGCTGAAAGACGCTATATGCTGCTGGGTCCTTATCTCCTGCTGTACGTCTTATCACCTGTCTACTGTTGGGTGTTCCTGGGGGGTATTGGACTAAATACAGTAAACACGGGAAGTGATAAAGTGTATTGGGCCGACAGTGTCTTCAATTTGTTCAGTGCTTGTTTGTGTATTATTTATGCAAACCTTGTAAATAATCGAAATTATTATTATTATTATTATTATTATTATTATTATTATTATTATTATTATTATTATTATTATCATCTGCGGGAAAAAGAAGCAAGTACGAAAGTTACCATTATCAGATAATTACTGTACATATGTGTCTTTGCCCTGGATACAACGCAGTTCACACTAATATGTGTGGGTCAGCACAGCCAGATATTCTTAATCGGTGCGGTCCACACAGTAATTGTTGGTCATTGCTTTAGTGAGAACTCAAGGATAATCTGTTATTTTCTTATTTGCCCAAGGCTATTTTTATCTTTGTTAAAACACCCTTAATATCTTTTTTTTTCTAGATGATTACACAAGTTTTGTTAAGTTTTAGATGAAGTTGTAGAGAGAGATAGAATAAGAGAGAATACTTAGAAGATTATGTAACAGTAAGTAGCTTTGACCTCTAGCTGCACAGTTTAACCAGCAAATTGGGGTAACAAAAAGGGGAAAAATGACATCCTCATTTACCATCAATTTCTATTTATGGAGCACGCACGAGAACCAGCAGGGTTCATTACTTGTATCTTGAGGTGGGGAGGAACTATATATATATATATATATATATATATATATATATATATATATATATATATATATATATATATATATATATATATATATTTATTTATTTGTCATTACCAATCGCGTTCCTGGTTCAATTGTGTGACCACGGAGACCTGATCTCAATTGACCTGGTGTGCCCGTAGGAGGCGCCGACGGTGGAGCTGCTCCTGGAGGAGATAAACACGGAAGGTCTTGCCCTGGAACCCACGACAGGTGAATACCACAGCTGTAATTCTGTACTTGAGTGTTGGTATGTACTGTAATGCTGTACCTGGGTGTTGATGTGTATTGTTATATCACTGCGCTTTAACAACGAATGTCTTAAACGCGTAACAAGGTTAGTAATTACACAAGTCCAACAACAATAAAAAAAATTACAAGATACAATTCTCTCGGACTAATGTACTAATGTTTGTCTTGGAAACAGAATATTTACAGTGAAATATTTACAGTGACAGCAGATAACACTGTTCATTTGCAAACTTTTATGCAAGTCACTGATGCTTAAGATTTCTAGACTGATGAACGGAGAGTGAAGGATAAAACGCTTAAAGTCACAATTGCTTAAAGATTATCTGGTACTGATGAAAGACATGAAATATGAGAGAGAGAGAGAGAGAGCAAAAAGTTTAGACTTCAGAGCAACAGATTGAAGTGAGAAGAAACACCAAGGAAAAGCAATACAGAAGACAGAAATAACACAAATTAATAGATATATAGATAGATAGAGAAAATTCGAGAAGGAAAGAATGTGACAGAAAGATGGAGACTGGCAAGGGCGGATCCAGGGGAGTGTCCTAGGGTCCGGACCCCCCCGTTTTCACCAGAAAATTCCAATACTTTTTCATAAATGCAATATTGTACACGGGCATTTTTGTAAAGTAAAGAGTAATTAGTACTGAATTCAGAGTATTTCCTAATATCAAGTGCACGTGGCTTCTAAATGGCCTAAAAAAATGCCCATGATATTGGTCAGATCTAAAAAAAAACGGGGGATTACAGCTCCCCCCCAAAAAAAACAGCTGGGTGGGCTAACAGTGCTCGCCATGTTCCCACACCCACAACTTTCTTGGACACCCCCCTTTAGATATTCCTGGATCCGCCCCTGCGGTCACAGACACAATAACTAATGAAACCTTCCCTCAACAGGCACCCCATCGCCGCCAGTGGTGTTCGTGCAAGCGGTAGTAGGAGGGGAAAGTCGTTTTACCGCCTTCACCAGTACCTCGGCTACCAAGGTCACCCAGAATGCCCTCACCCTGTACGTTATACGTATATCCTCTCTCTCTCTCTCTCTCTCTCTCTCTCTTTCCATTTTCCCGTGTGATTTTATCAAGATATATATGTATGTATGTATGTATGTATGTATGTATGTGTGTGTGTGTGAGTGTGTATGCAGTATATTACAATAAGTAAACCTAGTCATACTACAACTTGTCTTTATTGAGATATGTATAAAATAGAAATACCTTGTACCCTCTGGCAGACTAACAGTACAGTACATGTATCGGGAATTGCGGATGGTTGCCCCATACAAGGTCACTGCTAAGCAGATTGAGGGATAGACCGGATTGATACGACTTGTTTTAATGAATGGATGTGGCTTTACACTTGCATTCGTGATTAGAGACGATTTACCTTTGGTAATAATAACACATATACTATATATTAATGAAGGGATGTTTCTTACAGGGACGTAAACAACATGTACACGCAAACGCTGCTGCTTCAAGTCTGGTGAGTAGTAATATACAGTACTGTACCAAAGTTCTACACAGTGGCTAAGCTCAACACTGAGTCCATGGCTGCTTCTTATATACAGTATTCCTATGTGGTGATCTTCGGAATTGTTTGTTTAATTGTACTACATAATTGTTCATCTGACATTAATAAAGCTGTGCACCTGACAATTTCACCATAACAGACTTAAAAAATCACCTTTTGGACTTAAAAAAAAAAACCGTCGCTTAACAGACAAATAAAACTTCACCAAGCAGACTAACAAACCTGGTCACTGATTAGTAACAGAATATTGTATGGTAATTATTCGAACATTGGCTGTCCTCAGGTTTTGGTACAATAATAGGTTTTTTGGGTGTTTTATTGTGTGTTTTACAATCTGACCGCCATTTCCTGTGCAAATTAGCGGTTTTTGCAAAAAAAAAATAACATTTACATTTGTAACAGAAACCGCTGATTTGCATAGAAATGGCGGTCAGGTTTGAGTAAAACACACCATAAAACACACACACACAAAAAAATCTAGCCTAGCCTAACCTAACCTAACCGAAGCAAACCTAACCTACAATATATACAACCTAGCTCAGTCATTTGGAGCTTACCAGCGACTGTGGTGGAGGATATAGCTGGGCCATCTGGTGAAGGAAGTGGTGGAGGATGGTAATTTCTGTCTTTTCTTAAAGGTAAACAATTTCCACACTTCGGACACAGTCTTGTTATTGGTAGGACACTGTAATCTTGTAATATCACACACCATCATGAAAGCCTTCAAAATTTGAAATTTCACAGTGGAAGGCAGTTTCAAAATGATTGGGCAACCAAATCACATGACATGATACTTGAAGGTGATTGGCTTTAATGTCGCGAAGAGGAGGAGAGAAGTGACTGGCAACACGGCGGGTACAGAAATTTATGTCTAGAAATTTGTGAAATACTCCGTTAATTCTGATTTGCACTAGAAATGATAAGTCGTTTTTTATTTTTTATAGTCTTCATGTCTGTAATATTGAAAATTGGAAACCTGCTAACAGCCAGTGGACGAATATTAACCCAGAATATTTTTGTAACATCCTGTACTAACACTTATAGCTATCTGTTTCATAATAGATGGATATTAATCTTCATTTTCACATAAAGTACTGTATTAATCTTCCTGTCAGTCAGTCATTACCAAAAGACCAGTGAAAATTACATAATATTGTGTAGGCTACTGTGTTTTCTTTGTAACAGGAGATCCATGTACTAGGGTGGAGGTGCTTGAAAAGGGGGTGGGGATGGGAACACTTGTCCCTCTCTCCCCTACCCCCAATATTTCAATTACTGGACAGGTAGTTGCCAAATGATTCCCCAAATCAAATTCCCCTGTAATTCCTCATCAAGTTCTCCTTCTAACTCTACATCAACTGCCCCTTTTATCTTATACCTAAGATCAAATATCCCCCCAAGCCAAAACCAAGTACAGTATCCTCCACACCCAGAAGTCAAGTGCACTCTACATCTCCCCAGTACCCTGGTCCCCCAGATGTGGAAGGTACAGTACTTTTGTGGGTCTTCAGAGATCTGGTATAGCAATTGTGTCTCATGAGCCGGAACAATTGGTGCACAGCACTTTCGGGAATGAGAGATTTCTGGGTAACGAGACGACTCTCTCAAAGCCGGAAAAAAATCCCTCATCCCCGTAATTTTCTGAGTAAAGGAAAAATATTCTCGGAAGTTCCAGAAAGTTGCATTGTTTCATTTCTCAAAGCTGGAAAAAATCCCTCATCCCCAGAATTTTCTGGATTTTTCTGGGTAATAGAAAAATATTCTCGGAAGTTCCAGAAATGGCTCATTACATCATCTCTCGAACCCCGAAAAAACTCCCATCATCCCCGGAATTTTTCAGGCACTGGGAATTTTTTTTTATAATTTTCCAGAAAATATGCCCCTTGAAAAATCATTCCCAAAGACATAATTTTCCGGAAAATTAAGCTTTGGGAGCAATTATATAGATATATATATATATATATATATATATATATATATATATATATATATATATATATATATATATATATATATATATATATATATATATATATATATATATATATATATATATATATATATATTTCCCAATGAGGTTCACGGCGCCATCAGCTCGATGAACAGGCTTTGTGTGATATAACAGAGTCTAGAACTAGTGTCCTTGTGGCCTAGCCGGTAAGCGTTCCCTAGTCACACCCAGTAGGTCGAGGGTATTCCTTGCTGGTGAGGTATATATATAAATATATATATATATATATATATATATATATATATATATATATATATATATATATATATATATATATATATATATATATATATATATATATATATATATATATATATATATATATATATATATATATATATATATATATTATATATATATATATTGCCATAAATCTTGATTTTGAGTTGATAAATATGTTATGATAGGACATGTGCTTAAATTAAAGTACCATGTATCTTACAGATTTATTAATGTTTTGAGAACAAGACGTTCTACTTACACTCTTGGGAAGGTTGTTGACCTATTCAAATATTATACTGTACTGTACATAAAATTTTGAAAAATAAGCACTTAAAATTCATGTCATGTTCAGTTTGGCCAGGCTAAATAAACATTTAAAATTCTTAATGTTTATTGTGACATTTATCTTTGAGACTTTTTGTGACATCTTTTATCCTCCTTTCACTTCCTATAACTCCTTGCCTGTTAACCTCCTCTTAACTGCCCCCTCCTTGTGTAAGAGCACCCAAATAATTATGTATCTTAAGATTTTCTATCCCTCAGTCTGTAAAAAATTAAGTATTATTATAACCGCTTAATACTGTATTTAATGGTACGTTATGTAAATTATGATAGTCTAACACATAAAGTATAATAATTGTTCTACTTTTGTGACATCCCCACACTCTTCAGAAGCCTTGACATATCTAATAAGCTGTAGGTTATTCCTCTCCTTTTTTTCTCTTCCTTCCTCAGTTGAGGATATCAGAAATGATTGTGTGTTATTAGAGGCAAGAGGTAACTATACTTTCTTGCAGGAGAGCTGTCAGCTTACCTGTTGAAGAGACTCAGAGCGGTCCAGTCCTTGACTTTTTGGGCCGCCTCATAACCAGCAGCATCAGGCACAAGAAGGATAAGTCTGACACTGCTGCTGGTGCTCTCAGGTCAGTTAACCACAGTTAACCCACTGACCATAATAGTCTAGGGGAGATTTAGCTTTGTTATGTCCATCATCTCTCCATCTGCTGGTATTGTAATGGTTTCCTCACTGTATCTAAACTTCTGTTGGGAACTTCAAAACAGCAGTTTTTAGATACTGTACCAGTAATTTTGTTCTCCCTCAGTTAATGAATCTTATTAATAAGTTTGTCTCTTTTAAGGAAATCAGCAGTTTTAATTTTTCACTGTCATAGGAATAAGCATGCTGTAATTAGGCCTGAAGTACAAGGCAAGGCTAGAAAGGGGTTGCTTGAGGGTCATCGTAAGGGCCATAAATACCAAATAAAATAAAGTTTTGGTGCAAACTGCTTAAAAATGCCTATAAAAGCACATGAAGACGTTTTTTGCAATGATGCAGATAAATTGGGTAAGACTTTAAGAAGTGGAACAGTTGTTGTTGGATTAGGTGGTTTGAAGCTTATATACAGAAGGAAGAGAGAGGAGGAATATAAAATGGAAATTATAAGCTGAAACTGGTGAAAGTATTGTAGCCCTGTTTTTGATGGGTAGAAAAACAGTATTAGGGAATGTAAGAGGTGTTGAAAGTTTATTTGAAATAAATATACAACATGACTAGAAAAAGACAAGATACTGTACATCATGTTTACTAGGAAATAACTACGGTAATACTTTCTTGCTCTGTTTGACTTTATACATTTCCTTGAACTTTAACCTGAAAAAGAAGTTACAGTATGATAAATAGTTCTTGAGTTAGAAATTAATTCTGTCTAAATTAAGACTTATCTCCTCATTTATTTTGAATCAGTGTAAAGAACAATCCTTTTTTTTTATAAAAACAGTTAAGTAGTTGTATTTGTTTATGAAAATTTCTTCATTTGGTGATATTTGTCAATTACTGCCAAGGAATATTTAATTCAGCATGGCTGTTGTAAAGTGTATTATCTTAGGCGTAAGAGTTTACATAATATTTTACTTTGTAGATCCACTGATGAGAGTTCCATCAGCGCTACTACTATAAGAGAACACCAGGAGGAGTCTCCATCAGGTGATACAGTGGAAGATGGGGATAAAAAACAAGTGGAACATAATGATGAGGTGGACCACTGTGATGAAATACCAATCATTAATGTCTCGGTGTGGGAGAACAAGAACCAAGAAGGCCAGCAGGACACACCCAAGACCATAAAACAGAAAATGAGTCCAAAAACTGTTCAGGCAAAAGCAAAAAATCTAGTTAACAAGGTTGGTAATGTGAAACACGTCAAGGAAAATAATGACAATAAAGTACCCATTGGTAATGATGTGGAAGAAGAATTACCAAATGGTGTTGAAGTAGGCTGGGAGGAAACTAACAGTTATCCTCTTGATGCATCAGATACTGTCTCTGTTTCATCAGAACTCTCACCAGATGTCATGCGAGCAAGCACTCCAAGAGGTAGATCAGCAAGCTTCCAGAGTCTCGAACTATCAAGCATCAGGGACAGCTCTGCTTCCAAAAAGTCTATAAAGAATAAGTTACGCAATGGCAGTCTTAAAATTAGTGCATCCAACCTTAAAACAACACTACGTTCTAGTTTTCGAAGGGGGCATCAAAATAATTCTGTAGATTCAAAGACTTCACAAAAAGGACAACCTGATAACTTTTCTCTGAGGTCTGAGAATAGTGATATTTCATGTTCAGGCAATCCTCTTGGTGAGGAGGAAGAAGCGGACAATACAAATTCTTTTAAAGATGATATTGGTTATCATGAAGAATTACCAAATGAAAATGGGCATAACAAATTGAACCGTGAGAAGTCAAAAAGTACATTAAGCATAGCATCCATTTCTGAGAGGATGAATACAACCCTACGTCTATCATCACAAAAAGCAACAAACATGTTCAAGAGAATTGGAAGCAAAAGGGGAAAAAAACCTTACAGTGAAACTTCCACACCAGAACTATCCAGACGGCAACCACAAGATGACAATACATCTATATCAAGTTTTCATATGGATAAAGTTACAGGGGAAGACCAAAGTGGCACCCTACCCTCTCAATATGACTGCAGCATTGATGACACCAGCACAGAACGGTCAGAATCCCATCATAGCAGGGAAGTTACTGATGGCTCACCAATGGTTACTGCATACCTGAGGAAATCTTTTAGAACAAAGTTTTCTACACCAAGAACTCTAAGGGCCTTCAGGAGCCTGAGGGAAAGGGGAAACACTAAGAAACATATTGATCCAAAAGATAATAACAATGAAAACATTTCTGAAGAATGTGAGAGGTCCTTAGAGGGTCCCCAAAATTCTCCTGAAATTCAAAGTTATCTATCAAGTATTGACAAAGGTCACCTTAAAGCTGAACTATTAGCCCATGTTAGCGTGCCTCTCAAGGTGAGTTAATGGACACAGTTTAATGGCTGTCATGATAAAATATATTATGTTCATTCCACATAATTACTAATCAGTGTTTTTTATGTTTTTAATGTTACCTGGAATTATTCATTAATTTTACTTTAGTATTAATTAATAATTAAATAGTACATGAACCGAACTTATTGTGAACAAAACTATTTCTCTTTAAAGACTCTAATAGGCCCATGGAAGAAGGAAGGCTGGTTTCCTCTGATTGTCACTCAAGATGAAAACTCAAGTCATAGTCAGAAGAAGAAGAAATTTAAAAGAGCAGGCACAAGCAATACATCTCTGGTGAACAAAAAGAGCGCCAGAATGGCCTGTAAGCTTCACATCCGTCTGACACTACCTACACCAGAGTCAGGGCTCACTTACAGTGGCTATGATACCTACAGTACAACCCTCCGCAAGCTGGTTGATGTGCACATCCAGGCCCTGGTCAGTAATTTCTTTAGTGCCTGTGTGAATTACCTCCTACGTTCAAAGTAAGATGGAATGATGTATACATTGCAGAGTAGTATTCAGAATACTCTGACCATTTACTCTATGATAACTCATCTTTGCATACACAGGTATTGTATCTGCTGTATAAGAAGACATTTTTAGAACTTTTCATAAATACCAAGGTACTGTATCAAGTTTTGCGCCTTGATGGCATATTAATGCTGCTCATACACGTGTGCAGGAATTGCATACTCTTTACTCTGGTATCATCTGAATGCTGATTTTACTAAGTTTTGAACTCTGATGCATCCACTTGTGTAGCAACCCACTGTCATGTACATCCATATTTACCTGCGTGCCTACTTGCCTGCCTGCCTACTATATTTTCAAGTACAGTATAGAGAAATACAGTATGTATAAATATTTCAGTTCTTATTTATTCCAGTGATTAAATATAGGATAAGATTTATGCACCTCCCAAAGCAAACTTTCTTCCTAAATATGTGTGAACATTTTCCCTCCTTCTGAAAAGTTACATGCCAACCCCATGTCGACCAACAGCTTAAATTTATTTTGGGGTCACACCTCCCACCATCTCCTAAGCTATAGCCCTGCTCTTCTGTTTTCTGTGCAACAGTCTAACATGGATATCCACCTGTTATCTTGCAGGATTCTCTGAAGGACTACAAGGGTTCTGTAGGTGCAGTGGGTGATGTGCTTCTGCAACAACTTGTCTTCTTTTCCCGTGTGTCAGAACCTCATCGGACACTGGCTAAATGGTTGATCATGGTGGATGTCAAACCCTCAGATCCTGGTCTATTTCTGCCACTCCTGAGAGCCATCAGGACCCACCTGGAAGCTGGCCTCTATCTCACCACACAGGTAAACCACAAGATGAAATTTTGAGTTTTTGCACCAAGAATGTTAGGCATAAGTTGAATCATATTGATGCTGTACTGTAGTGAGATGTGAAGGTGAGGGAGGGAGCCCAAAGTTATGAATTCTGGTTATACATATACATGTACTGTATTTTGAGAAACATTTGCCTCCCTGGAACTATTGCAGATGAATATTTTTAATATGACAGACCACTGATTGTAGAGAAAATAATCTGTTCATGAGTGGTCTAAGAAATGGCTGCTAAGATTCAAAGTCAAGAGGTGTAAGAGGATGCTTCTTGGTTGTACCAACGGTAAGGAGGAGTATCATATGTCCCAACGGGACGAAGGAACTTCACCAAAAGAGACTGAATGCGAAAAGGACCTTGGTGTGTATGTTGATAATGAACTGAAGTTCTTGGGCCATTGTGAGAAGGAGATGAATCAAGCAACTAGACTATTAGAGCTTAAAAGAAGATCGTTCAGATATCTCCAGGGTCTGTCCCTTGTAACGATCTTCAAGAGTCAGGTGCTTGACTGCCTGGAGTACTGTGAGTTGTCTGTCACCTCGTCTGATCCCCAAGATATGCTAGAACTGTCAGTTGATTGAAAATGTCCAAAGGAGGGCCAACAGACTGGTGCCTGCACTTTGGCACATCAGCTATCCAGAAAGATCAAAGCGCCTGCAATTGCCTAGCTTATGCTACAGACGGGCAAGGGGGAACCTAATTGAGGTGTATAAACTTTCAAGGGGCACTACTCAGTTGAGTGTCCTTACCTGGAACTGGAGAATGCTCGCCCCACAAGGGGTCACAGCTAAAGCATGAAGAAGCCACAAGTCCAAAAAACTATGAGGGCGAACTTTTTCAGGGTGAGAGTTGTGAACTCGTGAAACAATCTGCCGGAGAGTGTTGTGATGGCACTGCTTGTAAGCTGTTTCAAGACCAGACTTGACCAGCACTGGAGCAGGTTCAGATACATTCAGGAGCCAGTGCATGCCCAGTACTTGCCAACAGTGCGTAACAGAGACGTGACCGATCGTCCAAGCGGCTAAAGATCCTATTATTGGTGAGGAGGATAAAAGTAAAAGTAAAAAGTAATCATCATCATTAATTACAACCTTTATCACCTTAATAATCATTCAGTTTAGGCTGTCAGTCTGTTCTTTGTTACTTTGTTAGGACCTTCATTGTCCAATGTTAGTACAAAAGAAAATCAGAGCACTGTACCCAGAGAAAACCTGGAGTACACCTTTCTCACATTTGACTAAGGAATATTGGATATTCCTTGCATCTGATACAGGGATTTAAGCCCTGGGCACAGTGGTGAGAGTCAATCACACTACTGTAGTACCATTGTTTTGTTAGAAAACCTACTCAAAGTGCTTCCTATTACTGGTACTAGATATATGTTGAATATAATAATAGCATATACGTAGTACACTATTACCAGTCTATCAGTCAATACTGTTTTACAATATCATTAAGTGGATAAAGGTGAAAAATAACAGCTGCAGTTTAAACTCGGCTATGCTTATATTGTAATAACAGAAACGCCAACTGGGTGGAGCTCTTTCTTCCTGGGTGCGGAAGGTTCTGACGGATGAGTTTGAGATGCTCCATTCATCATTTCCAAGCAATTCTGATCTCATAGAGTTGTCAAGGCTGGAGAATTTCCTCAGGTAAGTAGTTTAGGAATTTCTGAAATAATTTTATAATTAGCTGCTCTCAGATTCAACACTGTTCTTCATGACTAAACTGTACAGTACTCTGTATTTTTTCTTTACAAAATAGCAATTGAATTGAACCTTACTCATCATCAATGATCAACCAATCCTGTTTAAAGGAAATTTGTTTTTATAAGTTGTCCTCCAGTAGAGGCAGTAAAGATGAATTGATTGTGAAGTCAGTCAGTAAGGGATGAATAATGATGTCTGAACTGAAGTTCTTGAATTACAGTAGTATTGTGAAAAGGTGACTCATACAAATACAATAAACTAATAAGGCTTACACAAAGATCATACATATACCTAGATGGTTCTCCTCCACATTATATATACTGTACATTACTGTCATTTGGTTAGGTCTCCAAGAACATTTGAGAACATTTAAAAGAGGGCCACCAAACTGATGCCTACAGTCAGTTCTGCTATAACGTGATAGTTGTGTTCTTGTAAAACATCGTGTTATAGAAATTCGCGTAATAGAAATAACAGGGCTTATGGAGAAAATAGGGTTAGGTGCAGATTACTACTCGAAATCGAAAAAAATTTTGTAGTTGGCCTAACACAAAGGTTAGCACAGTCTAAATAAATGTTACATTCATATCTAATAATGAAATCATACAGTAAATGTAACACTTTACCTTGAAAAAATATGAATATAACTTGATGGGGGAGAAGGGTGATTTTGAGGTTGATAACATCGACCTTCTCTTCAAGGGTTATAGCCTTTCTTTTACGATCATCACCTGGAATGCGATCACCAGAACACTTCTTGGAGATATTCTTCTTTACCATATTCACAGCTAATACCACAAAATTGGAGAAATAGTAAGCAAAAATCTCGTTACAGCAAACAAGCGTTCGCGTTATACAAATATCGTTCCTCTATTCATAAATCGCGTTAGAGCCAATTCGCGTTGTCAAAACATGTGTTATAGCAGAACTCACTGTACACTTTAGCACTTCATGTTCCGTGCTTGCCATAGATTAAATGGTAAATTTTCTTGACTTCTTTGGTTATTGATTGATTCCCCAATAATGGAAACCTTTGGTGTTGTTTTAATCATTAGTAATACGTAGCTGAAATTTGTCACATATTATCTTGCAGATGTTTCAACATATTGGAAAATTGTTATGAGTTACGAGTGTTGTTTGAGAGAGAGATTGCACCACTGGGGATGACATCTGTCACTGACCTACTGCATGGTGCCCTTATCAAACACATTGAAACATGGTTAGTAATTACTCATACTTTTTCCTCTTCACCACTGATCGGCTTGTTAGCCGCTTGGGCGATCAGCCATGTCTCTGTTACTTTTCTTTTTCTTTTATCCTCTTCACCAAATGTATTTATTTATTCTCCTAATTTCATCACCTGTATAGTACAGGTATATCAAATTTTGCTTGCTTCCAGAACTCTTTGTCAGGGTACTTACTGTAGTATGTACAGGTTCTTGAATGTACTGGTCCTACGTATGCAGTACATATGCCAATACTGGTCTAGTCTGGACAATAAAAGAGTTTCCTCAGCAATAGTGACCTAAGTTGTCAAACATAGGCACTCTTGTAGAGTACTATACAACCTCAGCTACCCTGATAGATTAGAGTGCCTGAAATTGCTTGCCTCACAAGGGTCACAGCTCAAGGTTGAAGAAGCCACAGGTCCAGAAAACTGTGTGGGGTAACTTTTTCTGAGTGAGAGTTGTGAACTCTTGGAACAATCTGCCAGAGAGTGTTGTGATGCCACTGAGTGTGAGCTCTTTCAAAACCAGACTTGACCAACACTGGAGCAGGTTCAGATACATTCAGGAGCCGGTGCATACCCAGTACTGTACTTGTCAACAGTGAGTAACAGGGACGTGACCGATCACCCAAGTGGCTAACGAGCCAATCAGTGGTGAAGAGGATAATAGTAAAAAAATAGTAAACTGTAAAGCTTTTTTCTCAGCTTTTTCCTGCTGTACTATAGGGTGTTATGTTCTCTTGTCTTGAGCCACTTAGTGGAAGGTATTAACCATAAATGAAAAGCCGATGCTGAAATCCTCTTTTATAACAGTTGAGCCTAGAACAAGGCAACTCAGATACATTTTTTCCTCTCACTGGGTTATGTGGAAGGCAGCCAGAACTGAAAAGCTTGACACCTGACAACCCTACTATGGCTGAGCCAGCTTAACCCCTTTACTACATTTTTGTCATTCTTACTTCCTACCAGCTCGTTCTTAGCTCTATATATCTTCCCAAAATTCCGTCCACTTCTGTCACCACTCACATATTTCAATTTTTTAAGTTTTCAATAATCTACATTTGTCACTGATGACAGAGCATATTACAAAAGTAAGCTGTATTTTATGTAGCTAGAACTGCAAAATAACCCTTCCATTATGTCATTAGGGTGGAGGCACTCAACAAGGAGAAACTGAAGCATGGGAGTGACACCAGCCTCACCCCTCACAGCCAAGTTTCAGCAGCATGGTTAGAGTGGCAAGAAGCACAGTGGAGGGCAAGCTTGCTAACCAAACCCATATTAAATTTCCTCACCATATCCTTCCACACCTACCAGCCTATTTTCATGGTGTAAGTTACATGCTAATGCACATATGTGTCTCTAACCAACCAAAATAAGTTTGATATGTACAATACAGTACAGTACATTGCTGTACACTGGCTTCCTGTATGTATGATTCTTCATGTTTAACTGCTGGCTGCTTTATTTACTACCATGAATTTACATTTACACACAATACTGTATTTCTTTTAAGTAAACTTTAATCTCATAGTTTGAAATAACATACTGAAAGGTCAAAATAGCAAAATTAAGCTCAGCCATCCTGCCACTTGGCTACTCACCCTTAATACAGTACTGTGTTAAATCACTGAAAACCCATGGTTATGCCAAAAGCTCAAATATCTAAGCTCCACGGCCTGAATTCTTAGCACACATTAGTTAAAACTTTGTCATGCTAGATGATCAAGAACTGAGAAGTACAGGAGAATATTATGATGACTGTTGAAACTCTTGATAATATCAGAGGACCAGAAAATAAGCTTACTTGCACCTCACTGAGAACACTGCTTCTACCATAGCTGTATTATTGTCATCAACTTTCCTACATCTGGAATTAATTTTTCATTAGTTTTATTATGTACTGTAATAAGAAAATATATAAGTGATCAGTGTCTACATAGTATCCCCACTAGTGCAATAGTTCACTTTCACAGTCTTGCCTTTGCCACTCTAGTAGGATATATAATTTGCAGAATTTTGTGTGTGTGTGTGTGTGTGTGTGTGTGTGTGTGTGTGTGTGTGTGTGTGTGCGTGCGTGCGTGCGTGCGTGCGTGCGTGCGTGCGTGCGGAAAATAAAAAATAAAGATTGGAAAGAGCTATGAAAGAAACCAGTGTTTGGCAGTGTGTATTGGGGTTTACTTAGGTGGTTTGGACATATTTAGAGAAGAGGAAGTTAGAAATTATAAAAAAGAGAATACTGTACACTATAGTTCAGATGTTGATGGTAGGTGGTGAGATGGGGAAGACCAAGAAAGTGATGGAAGGGTGGGGTGGAGGACACCCTAAAAGTCGGGGATGGACATAAAGGGAGCAGCAATACTGTACGGTATATGCAAAAGCCCAAAGAGCACGGCATTGGGTGATTTTTGGGGGGGGTTGCTGAAGGGTTGTGTGAAATGACAGCAGTAAACCAATCATTCCACTTACTTCTAGAGAGATGTCCGTGGATTACCTGTACCTGGTGATGCCCAAGATGTTAACAGCAACCCTTCACTTGGTGAACCCACTGATGAAATATGATGTGGATGGAGCCAACCAGGTTCCATTAGAGGCCATACCCTCTGCTGCTCAAGCAGGCTGGGTACTCTGTACTAACTTAAGCCAAATTAACAAGTAAGTTGTAGTCAGAAGTTACCTTTGATTAACAGTATACTGTAGTGTGTACAGTTCAGTTTTTTGTAGAATCTTGTCTAATTAACAAAAAATATATATGCAGTATACCATATACTTATCACTATATTTTCCTAAATATTAGTCACTAACCTCTGTAGAGAGCAAATTCCAAAATAATTTGAAATGATTATAGTATTTTACTCTTTCAGAATTGGAATTGAAAGTCATCTTCCTCAGCATTTGATCCCCCAGGAGTACCGCAATGCTTTTTCTCTTACTCTTTTGCACTGGCTGGCACTCAGCAAGCACTTGGCATTAGAAGAGTTCCATAGAGACATTCAGCATGATAAATTTGTTGCTATTGATGACCTGGAAGGATATAGTCGATCTGCTGTTGGTGTGGCAGACCTCCTGAAGGCAGTGAGTTCCTCAAATTTCTTAAAAAAAAATTTGATTTATATTAAACTTTGATTAAAACATACATTTTTTGCCCTGGGTTCAGTGGAATAGTTATGTGTGGCTAAACACTATGATAATAGTTATGGCAATAATCATCTCCGAGAATGATAAATTGCTTTTTTTTTTTTTTTTATGTTTGAGCTTTTGTGTCTTTTCTTGCTCTGCTAGAAGAACTCTGGAGGCTTGGTATTCATATTTGGCATAAATATCTCTCTTAGGGAAGTCAAAGATTAAGTCAAATATGATGGTCATTGACTTACATATTAATCTGTTTGTGTGTTTCTCCATGACAGTTAAAGCCATGAAGAATTACCCAACTCCTTTTAGTTGGCTTCCAAATCTTCTAACAGTTATAGATTGATAAACACTGAACATGAAAGAACTTCTAATAAACCACAATGGAGCAGATTACATGTAGATTTGATCACAAGGCGGGATAATTGGTGTGCAGTAATTATTTGGCATGGAACTCTCTTAAAATTTCACCCCAAACCCACCTCACCAGAACCAAAGTTTCCACATAGTAGCTGTGGGCTCCTGGTATACAGTTGTATGATAAAAGATAATTTTATCTTCTACTCTAATGGATATAAATGGCCTGACACTTTTCAAGCCTTCCCCCGTAATAGGTACAGTAACTAAAAGAAGTATCTGACAGGGTGGGTCCGATGACTTCCGAAATTGTACGTGCAACTCGTGATGTCTTGGGAGGGTGAGTATGCGTGTCTTCACCCACCGCCATTTTGTATCCAACAGAGTGGGTGAGTTGGCAGATTGGAATAAAATCAACAGTTAAGTGATTACTTTCACATAGTATAAGGAGACAACATGCCTATCCCAATACCTATCGCCCGTGGTATCATATTGTTTCTCTCAACGTATGCACAGATACCTTTTTTAGCTACTGTACCTTTTCAGCAAGTGGTTAGTCTTCAACAGCATTTTATGAAGGTGAAGAATAAATTTATTATCAATTTTTATTACGTTTTTAGATACAGTACCAATCACAAGGTGGTGTTCAGGCTCTTAGACTTGTTGACTATACAAAGTTGCTTGATACCAACATAGCTTATGAAGGGTGCACTGAGAGCATGTAAGTGTATGAGCATAGAGGCAGCTAGGAACCTACCAGTGGTGAATACCCAAGAAGTGTGTGATTGGGTGAATGGCCGATGAAAAATGAAGAGGATGAAATGTGTAACTAATGTTTCTTACTGGTAACTAAGTGACTGTGTATTTTTCATTGGCAGTTTGGTAAATAAGTTGGTTGTAACTGTTGTACTTATTGACAGCTCATGACACGTGTGTGTGACGTGAGGTGGCCTGGAGGTGTTGGCCCTGGAGGTAACACCCTTACCAAGATCAGTCAGCAGATCATAGAGCTGGCAGCTGAGTACACAGACAAGGTCACCAAAGCTTTTGTTAAACGTGATGGAGACGCTGACAGGATTTCGAAAGAGGTGAGGCCATTTTGTCATTCAGAATTGAGATTCAGTAGATTTACACAACTAGTTATTCTCATAGGTATCCTTTTCAGGATTCCAACATTCATTGAAAGACAGAGTATTTCATGTAAATATAAAAACATATTAATCCCATAATCTGTGTGTAGAATTGACAATACAGTTTCAAAATTTTGCTCTACACAAGGGTGATTGAATATTACACAGGTTGTATTGGAGGTTTTCAGAGCACACACACACACACTCTAATTACACTTCCTTATGTCTTCTCCAATATCCTCTTTCGTTCTTTCATTCTTTCCCAGGTTAAAGTAAGAAGTAATTAAGGAATGGATAATTTTTATCTCTCAGTCTAGGAGACAAAAATCCATTGATTGTGTAATTTCAGGTGTGTGTGGTGGTGAGGAATGTAGAACACGTGTGTGATGAGGTGAGGAAACACTTGTTACATTTGGCAAGTATCTTGCGGGATGAGAAGGAGGTGGCACAGCAACTGGAGGAACGTACGAAACACCTTCAAGAGCACATTGATTTTGCTGCTGAGTTTCTTCTGCACCAGGTGAGTCTGTTCAGGTGACTCTGTACAGTATTCGGTAGTCTCTATACTCTGCATATTTCATTCAGTATTCTGTCTTTACAGTTAAATTTTATTAAAAAAAAAATATTTACTACTTTGATAGCACAAGGAAACAGTAGGCTTATGAGTCTCCTTATTGTTGCTGATGATTTTTTTCTTTCATCAGTCATGAGTCTGGTGTTATTGGAAAAAACCTGCAGTGTTTGGTAGTTTTCAGACTGCATCACACTCTTCTTGTTTCAAACCCTGGATGCTATGATGAGAAGCAAGCACACTACTGCTGTATTGTCTGTACAGTACTTACTTGCTTACCATATTACTTTTACTTTTTTCCTCTTCGCCACTGATCGGCTCGTTAGCCGCTTGGGTGGTCGGTCATGTCTCTGTTACGCACAGCTGGCAAGTACTGGGCATGATTGGCTCCTAAATTGTATTGGAACCTGCTCCAGTGTTGGTCAAGTCTGGCCCTGAAAGAGCTCAAACTCAATGCCGTCACAACACTCTCTGGCAGATTGTACCAGAGTTCATAATTCTCACTCTAAAAAAGTTTGCTCTCACTGTTTTCTTGACCTGTGGCTTCTTCAGCCTTGATCTGTGTTCCCTTGTGGGGCAGGCATCCGCCAGCTCCAGGTATGCACATTCGACTGAGTAGTGCCCTCTGCGAAGTTTATACACTTGAATTAGGTCACCCCTTGCCTGTCTTTAGTATAAGCTAGGCAGTTGCAGGCATTCTAATCTCTCCGGGTTATTGAGGTGCCATAGTCCAGACACCAGTCTGGTGGCACTCCCTTGGACATTTTTAATCAATTGACAGTCTCTAGCATATCTCGGGGACAAGATGGAGTGACAGTACTCCAGATGGGGAAGCACTTTATTCTTGAAGATTGTTAAGAGGGACAGACCATCTAGATATCTGAATGACCTTTTTATAAGACCTATTAGTTTCATTGCTTGATTCACTTTCTTCTCACAATGGCTTGAGAACTTAAGTTCATTGTCAACATACACACTCAGGTCCTTTTCACATTCGGTCTCTATTAATGCAGTTTCTTCATATTCTTGGTATTACCTAGGTGCATCCTTTTCACTTCATGACATTGAATCTTAGCAACATTTCTTCAACCATTCTTGTAGTTCACAGAGATCTTCCTGTAGCTCTTCACAGTCTGTTTGGTTCTGAATTTCCCTGAATAACTTGGCATCATCCACAAACATTTGTATAGAGAAGTGTATGGCTTCTGGTATGTTATTTATGAAACAAAAAACAACAATGGGCCCAATACACTGCCCTATGATACCCCAGTTGTCTCAGGTACACATGACGATTTCGTGCCATTAATCGCCACACACTGCTTGCGATCATGAAAAAGCCGGAAAAATATGAAGTTATTCGCAGTCATAAATCCCGCCTCTGCTGACGGTCGTGTATTATTTCAATGTGATTCTCATCTTTTAAAATGTTGTTTTTGCATAATGTAGTTTTTCTGATTCGTAATTTGTCTTAGTATGCCTTATTGTGGGTAAAAATAAGTATATACTGTATATTAAATGCAACTTCTGAAAGCGTGAATTTGCTACCAGAGTTTAACAGTTAATTCATGTATAATACTTCTGATAAACTTCCTACGTGCTTATGTTTGAAATAATGAATGTATGTATCTTTATATAATTTGGCTAAATATCTTTCCTGTCAGAAACGGTCATTCCAACGATTATGAATAAACTCATTTAGAAATACATCATTACTTCAGAACAAAATTTTTTACTTTTTACTTTTATCCTCTTCACCACTGATCGGCTTGTTAGCCGCTTGGGCGATCGGTCACGTCTCTTTTCCTTTATATTCTTCACCAAAAGGTCGGCTCGCTAGCCGCCCGGGCGATCGGTCACGTCTCTGTCACGCACTGTTGGCAAATACTGGGCATGCACCGGCTCCTGAATGTACCTGAACCCGCTCCAGTGTTGGTCAAGTCTTCTCTTGAAAGAGCTCACACTCGGTGCCGTCACAACACTCTCTGGTAGATTGTTCCAAGAGTTTACAACCCTCACTCCGAAAAAGTTTGCCCTCACGGTTTTCTGGACTTGCGGCTTCTTCAATCTTGAGCTGTGACCCCTTGTGGGGCGAGCGTCCGCCAGCTCCAAGTAAGGACACTCAACTGAGTAGTGCCCCCTGAGATGCTTATAAACCTCAACTAGGTCCCCCCTTGCCCGTCTGTAGTATAAGCTAGGCAAGTTCAGGCGCTCCAATCTCTCAGGGTAGCTGAGATGCCGAAGTGCAGGCACCAGTTTGGTGGCCCTCCTTTGAACATTTTCAACCAACTGACAGTCCCTAGCATATCTCGGGGACCAGATGGGGTGACAGTGCTCCAGATGGGGAAGCACTTCACTCCTGAAGATCGTCACGAGGGACGGACCGTCTAGATATCTGAACGACCTTCTTATAAGACCCAATAATTTATTTGCCTGATTTACCTTCTTCTCACAATGGCCCGAGAACTTCAGCTCATTGTCAACATACACACCTAGGTCCTTCTCACACACAGTCTCAACTAGTACATTTTCTTCATCCCGTTGGGACATATGGTACGCCTCCTTACCGTTGGTACGCCCCAGGTGCATCCTCTTACACTTCGTGACATTGAATCTCAGCAGCCATTCCTTCGACCATTCCTGGAGCCCACAGAGGTCCTTCTGCAGCTCTTCACAGGTTTGCAACAGCCAATCAGCTGTAACTCTTGGGGAGGGGCGGGGCATCTTTTTTCTGCTGGGAAAAAACGTGCTATAGTGACTGGGTAGCCTGGAGGCTTTTCTGTTGTGGCCAGGCTACCCAGTCACTACATTTTTCTTTTGTCTTCTCCCTAATGTAGTGAGGCATCACACATAAGGTAGGCAAAAGCTAGTAAACAATAGGTGTCATACATTTTTTTCCTATGCAATAGATTTGCATGTGAGAACAGTATTATATCTGATTTTTTATTTCTTTACATGGTACTGTGTAGACTGAGATATACAGTATATGTATGATTTCAGTTTATGGTAAGTGAAATAACATGATAGACGTTAAACTCTAAAACATTGCAGATATAACCAGTCCTCCTAATAATAGAGTATCAAAGTGTAATTTACTCAAATCTCAGCCTTGGCATGAGCAGCAGCAGTGTAAATGTTGAAAATCGTAATTGTTAACATTCACACTTCAATCTTTCAAAGTTTTACAATGTTTTCATTTCTCTTTACAGTGTCTTCCTCATCTGGAGCAGATCTTAACACAGGGTGTGGTTCGTGGAAGCTCAGAATTTGTGTTGAAAGGGTTAGAGTTGGCAATGCAGCCAGTGGAGGACCGCCTGTACTTTGCTGAGCCTCTGCTTCACCAGATGTGGTTCCGGCTTTTCCAACATGCAACCATCCTCATGAGTAACTATGTCCAGGTCTGATGCTGTTCTCAGTACTCATTCTTTACTAAAATTTATTTGCTATCCTCTTTGTCTCCTTATTCATTTCTAAAGTGTAAATTAAGTGATGGAACAATAAATTTCATAACCCAAACTTTGCCACTACTAGATGTGGTAACATCAAGGTGAACGAGTACCAGTAAATAGTGTAAATAGTGTATACAGTAGTACAGTAGGGTCTCAGAGTATGTGAGGGTTACATTCCTGGGATCCCCGGTCCCCCCTTCTGTATATATATATATATATATATATATATATATATATATATATATATATATATATATATATATATATATATATATATATATATATATATATATATATATATATATATATATATATATATATATATATATATATATATATATATATATATATACATACATACATACATACATACATACATACATACTGTACGTATAACCCCTTTTTTATACATGTACTAAGATAACCGATGCACAACTTCAGAATTTGATATGCCACTCCTTAGTAAGTCCAATATTGTATCTTACTTTCACTTTTATCCTCTTCGCCACTGATTGGCTTGTTAGCCGCTTGGGCAGTCGGTCACGTCTCTGTTACACACTACTGGCAAGTACTGGGCATGCACTGGCTCCTGAATGTATCTGAACCTGCTCCAGTGTTTGTCTTAAAAGAGTTCATACTTCGTGCCCTCACAATACTCTCTGACACATTGTTCCAAGAATTCACAATTCTCACTCCGAAAAAGTTCTTACAGTATGCATATTTTTCTTTTTCTCACTCTCACCTCGACAAGCACTGCCACTTATTTTCTTCTTAGGAGCCATGATTGCAGTAAAATTTACCAGTAAAGAAAAACTTTACGAGCATGAACTCCTGGAAATGTTTACAGAACCAGTGCGAGAGAGAGAAGGCCACCAGAGTTAACACTCAGAGTGGCTATTTTTCAACTTGTAATTTTGGGTGGATATGCAGAATGTAATTTAATTTTTTTTTACTCTGTAGATGCACGCAATCTTTCGTACAGAATATGCAAAAAATATTTTTTTTTCCAGTAAATCATAAGGTCAAAAACTTAAAGGGAATAAACATTTCTTTGTGCACGGGTGTTAGAACACAGATCGGGGAAGGGGAGGGGGGTGGACTGGTGTCAGGGGTTTCAACTGCTTGCTGTCTCCTGTGTCCAGCGTGTAGTGAAACAATTGCCAAATGGCAATGCAGAATTTTTTATTTTATTTTTTTTATTACATGCAGTATTCATTTTTTTCCTCACTTTTACTGGTACACACTCAAACCATCTCTAGGCAATGTGACACAGTTCAGCCATTCAACCGGGCAGTCACCCAGCTGACTGACATCGGAGGATTAATGGCATGAAATCGTCATGTGTACTTGGGGGGGGGGGGGACATAATTGAGGTGTAAAAACATCTCAAAATGCACTACTCGGTAGAGTGTTCATTCCTAGAGCTGGCGGATGCCCACCCCACAAGGGGTTCCAGCTCAAGGTTGAAGAAGCCGCAAGTCCAGAGAACTGTGAAGGTGAACTTTTTCGAAGTGAGAGTTGTGAACTCGTGGAACATTCTGCCATAGTGTGTTGTGATGGCACCTAGTGTGAGCTCTTTCAAGACCAGACTTGACCAACACTGGTTCTGGTACAGATACATTCTAGAGCCAGTATATGCCCAGTACTTACTGTACCAACAATGTTTAACAGAGATATTGACCGACCGCCCAAGTGGCTAACGAGCTGGTCAGTGGTGGAGAAGATTAAAGTAAAAGTACATTAATGAAGTTCTCTTCTTTTATTTTAATATCACAAAACCTTCCTTATCACCTCTTATCTTGGCTTTAACCTTTCCATGCTAGTTGTCACACTTTTGAATTCTTTTCCAGCTACAGTCAGATGATTTTCATCAGCTTAGGGAAACCTCCATGAGCCAAAGGGTTAAAGTCATTTTACTTAAAATCCTTGTACTTATATGAAGCACAAAGACAGTTTGTTTGATCAATATTATTTTCTAATCAAGGGAAAGATTGATAAATAGTTTTAGGGGATATAACAGTAAATATGTATCTATGTGTACCGGATATTCATTTGTCTATATATTTCAAATTTTAGTTTTGCTCAATAACTTTCCAAAGACCAGGTGAATTGATTTATATTTTGTTGTGATCTAGTAAAGTGGCAGGTTATCACTTGGGGTTGTTGGGGGTATTGATAGCTTAAAGAAGTTCAGAATTACTGTTATAGTAATTACCTTTGGGAGGGAGGGATGCATCATTTCCAGTGGCTCTCATTAAACATTTAATGGAAATTTTTTCAACGGGATGAAGACAAAAGTATTCAACAGTAATCTAAATGCAGGGAGAGTGGCGTGAGAATCTGCGGAAGCTGAGGACAGTGCTGTCTGACACTCACAGTTTTCTCACTGACCAAGGTGTTGGCCTCCGCCTGCCTGATGAGGTTGAGAAAGGTAAGCCACATGGGAAAAATAATTTGTGCAATTGATTTATACTCATTCTAATGATCATTTTTTGTGTTTGTGCATTCATTGTGGTATGAAGTGCACCATTATACTGAAAAATTCATGTCTTTAGATGGAACGAACATAATTTATACAGTATATGGTACAGTACATCCATTTTACTGATAAATTTAAAACAAGTATAAAAGAAAAAGTGAAAGAAAATTACAGTACATTACAGGCATTCCGTGATTTATGAAAAAGTTTCATTCCTGAAAACCTTTTATAAGTCAATTTTTATAAATTTAATCATATTTTCCCATAGACCTCCATTATAAAAGCTGAGACATGTTCCTATGAAAGGGAAAACGTCCTCAAAATATTTTGAAAAGCTACAAAAGATGTTTTTAATTACAATATTTGGTGAACACAATAATTATTGTATCATAATAAGTGATATACGGTACATGTAGTGGAGGACACAGAAGTTACTGCACTTGGTAGTGATGCACCAGCAGTAAGTCTGCTGCACTGTATGTACAATACAGTACGTACAGTATATATACTTTTCCTGTACTTGATTTTTGATGTGGTGTTAGCTGAAGAAGAAATGCTAAACTTTTCCTTTTAATATTTTATTCTTTCCATTGACCTCAGATTAAAGTTAGGGATACTAAACAGAGCATTGTTTCCACAGTGGAAATATTTGAGTCATCATTCTGCCACTGCATCACCTAGTGATTCTGTGAGCTGTGTTAATTAAAAACATGCTAGAAAAATTATTTAGGATTTTTCGTGCATTAATCAAAGCATAGATAATTCATAAGCTTGGACTATACTTTTTACTTACTTTTACCCTCTTCGGCACTGATCAGCTCGTTAGCCACTTGGGCAGTTGATCATGTCTCTGTTACACACTGTTAGCAAGTACCGGGCATACACTCCTGAATGTACCTGGACCTGCTCCAGTGTCGGTCAACTCTGATCTTAAAAGAGCTCACACTCGGCATAAACCAAGTCTTAATAAACTGGGGATTGTCTGTGTCAGTTTGATTACCATAAATTGTATTAAAGTACTGTACAGTACTTGTTATTTTTTCTATACTGATTTACAAGACAGTAGTACTGTACAGTGTAACTTGATTTGCCTTTTTTGCCTTCTGTCAATAAGGATGCACCCCCTTGGAATTATGGGAGGCTTTCATCATACTGTGATGTATACTGTACTTCCCTACCTATTTTAGCCACATTAAACCTCCTTCTTCTATTTAACCATAGAGTATGAGTCTGTCCAAGCAGAACTGATGATCCTTGGAGCAACGTCACCAGAGTTAATGTCCCAGTTTTACCATGAAAGATACCAGGAGCAGCTTAAAGAAGGATCCAGTGCTGGCCGCATCCTTGTTGTTAATGTGAGTGCATTACATGTACTGTTCTATCTCTCTCTCATATATATATATATATATATATATATATATATATATATATATATATATATATATATATATATATATATATATATATATATATATATATATATATATATATATATATATATATATATATGAGTTGCATTAGATACTTACCAACATCAAGGGGCAATTTCTTATGAGTTTGTAAGAGGCAGACAAACTGTACTGTATTGCATAGTATGTGCAACACTTCACTGGCACTCCACTGTACTGTACAGTCATTTGTTCTGAGGAACTTAAATCTAATGCATGTACTGTCCAGTACTGTACTCTTTATACATAACAGTAACACTTCACAGGCACTGTAAATGCTGTAATTGTTCTGACAAACTTAAGACAACACTGCACACATAACAATTAACTATCATTCTGTACAGTAACACTTCACAGGCACTTAATCACTGTCTGAAGGTCCACCAATAATGAGAGGTGCACGTAAACTGATGCCAGTGGGTTGCCAACTGAAACTTAGTGTGGGTCGGCCTGCTGGGCTCTCATGCATGACTTAGTTCCTGCCGACTTAGCACCAATTTACTGACTACTCAAAAATGCAACGGCTATCTGGTGCTGTACTGACTTATCAGATGCCAGGTTATGGGGGTTGCACAGTATAAGACAAATGCTACCCTAGTGCAACTGGGGGCAATTCTTGGTCATCCTCATTTAATTACACTCTACATAAGCCACAGAACCCTTGATTCCTTAATTTCTTCAGATTTTCTCTAGGCCTTCACCTCGCTAAATATTGAAAATCCTACTGCACATAGATTAATTCCTACAGTCATGGTCATCCAAATATTTAATATACAGTATATATTTTTTTCTGTTATGGACAGAGCACATTCACAGAGGGTGGACTGCGGGTACATGTGGTGCAGGCCCCGGGGGTGCCTGGAGGCGTACTAGTTAAGGCTCGTGTAGAGCCCCATGAATGGTTCCCTGCTGCTGAGCCTTGCAAAACACGCCTGTCAAAGGGAGATCCTTCTGTCTTTAACGAGATATTTAAATTGTAAGTATGAGAATCCTTTTGGGGCTGTAAGTATACAGTAGGTATTTTTTTTTTTAGGTGAGTGTAACTTTGGTTGTGGAAAGAGATTAAAAAATAGATACCCTCTATTATATATTAAGTTAAATTCTCATTACATGTTAAAAACTAGTTATGCACATCGTAGAAACAGAGGAGTATCTGTACCTGATTTGAAATGTACTATTCAGACTGAAAATTTAAAAAGTTGTGTTCATGAAATTTCATTACAATATTATTCAGTGATGGATTTGTGTTCTTAATATTAAACTAAAGGTTAAATATTTGTTAGGTAATGAACAAAAATGAATAAGAGATCAACAAACTATAAAGATTTTCTTTCTATGTTGGCAAAATTTAGAGTGGAGTTTCAACAACAATTTACAGGACCTTTACTGTATTATATTTTCAAAGTTGTTTTATACCTACACAGGCACATCTGGGATTGAATATTTGTCCATGACAGTGGAATAGGCATTCGCATATTGCAGAAGCTGGCAGAAGGATATTGATGCATTCATCATATATAAGAGCACTTTTACACACACACACACACACACACACACACATACACATCCATTGGCAAAATACACCCAGAAGTGAAGGCCATGGTAATGATCTGGATCCAACAACATCAGTAACAGTAACAGCCTTGGCCACATGTTCAGACCCAGAAAAAAATTAGGTCAGCTGTGCTAAACCAAGTTTGACATTTCTCTGTAAAAACAATACTAATTGGGTGGGTGAATACTAGCTTGTGACTGTAAATAAAATGAGTTCTGGTTGATTATTGGGCAGAAACACACATTGTCTGTCTGACAGATCTTCAATGCATTACCATGGCAACTGTTTTTCTACAGCAAGCAAAGAAACCCCTGAAAAAAAAAGTGGGGGGTGGGGGGTAAGAGTAATAAGAAATTACAAATAAAAGAGAAAAAGACTATACAGTATTAATCTACACCACATAGATGCTGGAAAACCAGCTTTTTGAAGTGAGACAGATTGTAAGAGTAAGGAAACACTGAAGAAGGCAGAGCATTCCACAGTTTGGTTGTGTGAGGAAAGAAGGATGGGTTATTCTAGTATGATCCACATCCACACAGAAACGGTGGCACCACGGGCAAGATGAGTGTTATGAGCCCATGGCCTTGCCGGCGGTACACAGGATGCCAAATCCACTGAACTTTGTCTGTTAAAGTACCTGTAAAAGAGAGAGAGAGTGAAAGAACATTGTGGCGAAGAGAAAGGGAAGAGAGATTGGCAACTAAAGGAGGAGAGTTAATAAGATGAAATGCTTTTGATTCCATCCTATCTAACAGATGGACAGAAGAAGACCCACCCCAGATATGAGAGCATAATTCCAAGTTAGGACAAATGAATTCCTAATAAACTTGAAGCAACTGCTCAGGAGTGAAGTAACTACGACATATGTACAGCATTCCCAGCTTTCGGGAGGCAGCTTTAGCAATGTTGTGGATGTGTGGCTTCCATGACATATTAAGAGGAAATAGTGAGGCCTAGCATATCTATTTTAGAATTTGGCAGAATGATTGCATCTTGAAATGTGATTGGTGGGAGATATTCTATTATGGAAAGTGTAATTGGTAAATATTGTGTTTTATTGCTATTGAATTTAACCAAGTTTCTACCTCCCCATTCGGAGATGCTGCACAGATCCGCGTTGATAGATGAAATGATGTCAACTCTGGAAACAGATCTAGTTTGAGAATTAGGGGGAAGGGAAAAAATGTGAAGAAAAGTGAAGAGTAGAATCATCAGCATAAGAATGGATAGAATTAGTCGTAGTGTGAAGTAAATCATTGATAAAATGAAGGAAGAGAGTAGGTGAAAAAACAGAACCCTGTGGGACACCACTGTTGGTAGAGAAAGAGCGAGAGATCGATCCCTCGACAACAACTGCCATGAATTGGTTCTCAAGGAAGCCAGAAATTAGAGAACAAAGTGGGGGAGAGAAACCATAAGAGGGAAGTTTAGAAAGCAAAAACTTGTGCCATCCCCTGTCAAATGCTTTGGAGATGTTGAGGGCCATGACAAAAGTTTCCCCATAATCTCTAAGAGAGGATGACCAAAAATGGGTGCAGTAGGACAGCAGATCACCTGTAGATCTTGCCTGGCAAAAGCCATACTGGTGATCCGGCAAAAGATAAAGGTGTTCAAAGTGACGGAGAAATTGAGAGTTTAAGATAGTTTCAAAAATCTTCGAGAGGGATGAAGTTAGGGCAATGGGGCGATAGTTAGAGGGATTAGAATGGTCACCCTTCTTCGGGATGGGCTTACCTAAGTAAAAAAAAAAAAAATAATAATAAGAAAAATCTCCTTTAGTAGAGCAACAAAGTACTGTAGTGCTACTTTTTCATAGTCAAAGGTTAATGTATTCCTAACATTCTAAATTAATCTTAACAAGTTCAAAGTTTCTAAATGTAATTTTGAGTCTGAATATGGATCCAGGGATTAGTTTTGCCTTGATTAAGAGAATACTGTACATTGCATTACAATACATGTATTGACACACAGCATAGTTTTAGCATGTAGAGTATGTAGACTAATAACTATGAACTGCAGGAGGGTTTATCAGTACCCTGTAGTAATAAAAGTATGATGCCTAAGTTTAAAAAAGAACCTCAATGAACAAAAAAATTTGTTGCATGACTATAGATTGCAGGAACTAATGTATTAAAATTAGTGTTCATATGTACTGTACTGTATTGTAGACTGCAGTAAGATATACTGGTGAGACTAATAATGATGTTACCATTTTGTAGCCCAAGTATACAGGAGGATCACTCTGAAGGGGAGCAGGGTGGAGTATTGACGCTGCAGGTACGGACACCACGTATCCTTGGCAGCAGTGTTGTCCACTATGAGGCAGTCCTTCCCCTGGCTAACTTGCCCCGTGTCCTTGAGGCTGATGTCCTCACCATCCAACATTCACGCCTGCCCCTCACCAGACCATGGAAACTTACCTGTAAGTTCCTTCACTGTTCTTGTATATCCTCTTAATAAACCTGTATATCTCACCTTCTGTATAACACTTAGTGTATCTCCCCACTGTACCTTTACATCCCATTAATCTGTAACTGTATTTCCTTCTCGCTGAACTTACTATGTCTGTATGTCCCCGCACTGTACGTACTACAGTGTAAGTTGCTTCATCGGCCAAGTAAACTACCACAGTTAAACTGAACTTACTTTGTTATTTGTTTCATCAAACTGTATGGAAGAAAAGTTTTTCTAATTATCAAGATTCCTTGAAATTCCTCTCCAGATAATTACAAATTTCAAACATTTCCACACCTTTTGTTCTATAAGGTTTGAATAAAAAAATATGTGGTTGAGAAAGGAAAATATAAGTACCGTCACTTTTCTTTGGCTGCGGGAGGTTACCCTAAGCTGAATAAAATAGTCTGGCGGTAGCCAGAATAAATGGCAAGTGCGGGAAACACAGCGAAAGGGTTAAGGTCACATTCTGTCACCAGTATCTCCCATGCTCAGTATGGTGTCGATCCATTTGGACGATTCCCATTTATATAATCATATTTTATTTGGTTTTTGCTATCCCACTTAGATGGTTAGATTAGATTAGGTTAAATTGTCTATTTGGGAATTATCTAAGATTTTGAGTGGCATGTAATCGTTTAGTGTTAACTAACAATGAGAATTCAGAAATGAGCAACTATCCAATTAGCAAGCAAACTGGCAAAGGAGAGGAGGACAAGCAGGTTAAATAAGAACAGTACAATATTTGTTTTGCATCAGTAGCATTCAAAACAACTTAATTTCTTATTTACTAATTCTCTTCATCACTTATCAGCTTAAAGGTTGTTCAGATGGTCACTCATTCCTCGGTAAGTCCTATGAGTATATAAAGACTCTTGAATATACTGTATCTAAACCCATGACAATTCTGATCTAGCTTGGACTTAAAAGAGTTTACACTTACCATTATCTCAACAGCATACAAACCCTTAGAGGCCCTCAAGACACGTGCCCTGGACAAGACAGCTGTAGACTTCTTGAAGGCTTTGAGTGAACGATGGGAGCCTCGTGAAACATCTGTCCAGATCCAGGACTCCCAAAAGTTACGGGCAACCTTTGCAAGAGCTGGCAGTGTCAGGAACACCATGAAGGGAAGTAGGAAGCCATCTCTCCGAGGCACCCTCATTAAGTAGATAATATCCAGGACAGTTAATGACAACACAAAGCCAGTGAGAAAGTTTTTCTTAGTTCATCCATAAAATAAGAGAAAAAATAAAATAGAATGGCATGAAGTTAAGAGGTGTTGAATTCTTTCTGTGGTTAACTGGATAGTACTGTAGCAATATCCATCACCAGTCTTTCCATCCCCAACAATCACTCAATGCGAGTACAGTACAGTACAGTTCAGTACAGTAAATTACTTAATGTTTAAATGTGGATGTTTTGATGGTTAAAATTGATAAATAGTTTGCTGAGTTTTGTATATTCCTCCTTCACCTCTTCTATTTCTTTGATAATACTGGCTCTTAGAGTAGGGATCCTGAATATGGGTTCCATGGACCAACAGTGATGTATGTGAAGCCTCATTAGGAGGTAGATAAGATTTATTTTTAGGATCCAAAGGTATATTTGGTATGTACAGAATATGCCAAAGGTATTACTTTTTTAGGATACCTGTACAGTACTATACTTTATTAAATAAAAAAAAACTGAGTCACCATTGAGAGGGGGTACATGATGTCTCACACTGAGAACAAGGGGTACACCTACCTAAAAAAGGCCCAGACCTTCTAGTTTTAGAGAATGCTTTTGTTTGATTTTATATTTTACAGAGGAAATATCTCTGTTCTCAACTCCTCAAAATGAGATATGGTACTCAATCTTACTTAATTAAGCTGCTACTTCTGCGCTTAACAAAGAAAATATCAAATTTGGTCTTTGGTTTTGTTTTTTGTAATTATTTATGTCAGGTGAGACTATCTGCATCAACAATGATATTAACATTCAAATAAAAACAAAAACAAAAAAAGTAAAAAAAAATGAGGCGTCGAGTGCAACAAGGGCAAGTCGCCAATATGGCAATTTCCCATTTTCAGTGTACTCATATACTTTCATTTCCTTATTCAGCTTTTCAAGCCAAACAAAATGATATATAAAACTTGAAAATTTGAATGTTTTTGTTGCATGAGGTGCTTCAAATGTGTTTTTGCTTAAATAAAAATGAGTGTATCCTAAATTGGCTTTTTCTGGTCTGTGAAAATGGTTGCCTGGAGGGAACTTAAATTGTTCTTGATGACCATTAATGTTGTTATTTTTTTGTGAGCCAAAGTATTTGGTAAATCTTTTTATCTCTTCTGGTAAGTGGCTCAAATATGTCCCTGTATACTGGGAATGGCCTTTTTAGCCTTGTCAGATTCAAAGCTGTTTGTTGACATTCATATGAGGCCCAATTTATTTCCTAGACAACCACTTAATTATACTATTGGTTGACTAGCTCCCTTAAGCACCTGGAGACTTTCAAAGAGCAGCTTAAGGCTTTCCTTTCACTGTGGGCATTTGATCTTGTTGATCATGAGGTAAATGTAGGCTCTAGTGACAATGCATTTCTTAACTTGCTGCTACAGTTTAATGTGCTTACTGTATTTCTCTTGTTGGTCTCTTTAATATTGTTGAATATTGAGTGTTTATATTTTTTAAGAAACAGCACTTTTGAATGATAATTTTTTATAAGAGGAATCAAGTCACTTGTGGATTATGCTGCGAGATTGTTTATTAATGATACAGCCAGGTAAAAACCAGGGTGTTTGCTAAATGTTTAGGCTGAGAATAAAGAGGTCTGTGTATTACTTATGGTAAATCATTAAACAAATGAGGCGAACAACAGTGAAGCCGAGTAACATAATGAACACAGATATGTTTAGAGATCATTTAAGGTAGGTAATGTTAATTATTTTTGTGTTATCTCACATATGAAGGTTTTGTTCCAGGGACAATTTGAACCAGCCCATGTATCAGTTTAAATTATCAATTTAGTCAGAGATCGGTTCACAAAGAAGACCCTAAATGCATCCCTCCTGAAGTAATAGATGTGGTAACAGGTGTTGATATGCAGGTATTTGTATTTACCTTGATCCTCTTCCAAGCTTAGGTCTTGTTACAGTCCTTAATATCTACTCTGTGTTTTTCTGGTACTGTCCTTTAATTTTGTGAAGATCATTGGCTGGGTTTTATAATTATTGAGTGTTTTTTTTAATATGTAAGGAATTGGTTTGCTCAGAATTTGCCAGATGCCATATCAATAGTGAAATTTGGCTGTGTTTTTGTATGGCACACTTTAATGTAACCTTGTGGTGGAGAATAATAAGAGTAATTTTCACCACTGTCACACTTTGAACTAGGGTGAAGGCTGTTCAATGCACTCCTGGTTCTGTTGATTTTAGAAATTACTTCTTGTTTGTTTCACATGGAATAACAAGGAATCTATGTTTGTGTTCGTCTCGGAGTGTTAATGCTCAAATTAAGCACTTAGCACCTTTTTCCATTTATTATAAAAAATATACCTATATCTTGTCAAAATCTGTTGGATTTATTTATAAGTTAACCAACACAGGGCTACAATAGAATATATTAGGCTTAGGGCCAGAGCTGTCAGTCACATGTCTGTCAGGTGTGATGTATATTCTGAATCTGGCTTGAATGGCGGTGAATTAAATGCTTACTCTATAGGTTTACTGGGCTGTGGAGGTGACCTGAAAGTCATCTGCAACATAGCAGGAAATGATGAGATAAGCTGTGAATTCATGTGTGCAACATAACAGGATATGATGACACAGTATATGAATCTCTGCCCCTAGTCTAGTTAACCTGGGTAGTGTACAGTATATCATGATAACATGTAATTAGCCCACATTTATAGAAGTACTGTCTGTATCTGTTGACAGATGCTATTACATTGTTCGGTCACTACCCACCGAGTTCCACATGGTGTAGTATCCAAACAGAAAAACCCTATGTATACCTAACCATGTTGCAAGATAGTAGGCAGCTTTCAAACAGGGAGGTACTCTCACATGGGAAGGTATTGGAAGCATAATGTGTTATCTAATGGTAGACCCTGCTGCCATATGGCATCATAAAAATTGTGACCAAGTTCCAGGTTACTGATCTGACTGACTCTCTGCCCCATTTACACACAATTGCAGGGTCTCAATTGTTTCCCTTACTTTGACAACACAACATATATATTATACCATTTCTTACTCTTGATTTGTTTTATTTTTCTATTTCTCTATTTATTTATGGTTCAGTTTATTCATCTCCCCTCCCATTGGCCCCTGTTTTTGTTCGGTGACCTGTGCCTGGGTGGGCTAATCCTTGTAAAAAAGTAAAATAAATGAATAAAATGTGTGCTGTAGCTAAGCTAAAGAATCTGCAACTGGAGGTTGGGATTTTGCAAATTTTGCTTTCGGTGTTTTTCTAAAGTGTGCAGTGTGGACAATAGTGAACCTCTTAGAGAATCTCTTATAGCAGCAAAATAACACTTAACATTTTTGCTAACAAAATAAGAGCGATAGGTATGACAAAGCTGGAATGACAATTCCTGATGATAAATAAAATGGAATGCTATAGTTTAAATCTGTAAACTTAGTTTCAATTTGCCAGAAACTAGTTCTGAAGTTAAATTAAAACTTACTGTAACTGAGAGAACTTTTTGACAAGCCCCAGCTGATGCAACTTAAACTCAAGCTTAGTCTGCTTTGTTCTTTTCATTATCATTTCGTACTTCATATCTTCTTTCTTCTACCCATTGTTCTATTGTGTTATTGAATTCTTGTCCACCGTTAACGAACATTTCTTGTATTGTTGTGTGTTTTAACTGTAATACTTACAGTTACAATAAAGTTTATATGAGAATTTACATAATGATTTTCAAGTTTTGGGATGTTTTTGAGATCTGTACATTGATAAGTAAAATGAGTCATTAGCATAAGTGTTAGAACTAGAGGGTAGGCAGTCCACCAGACCCCAACATTTAAAAACTACTGTACAGTTCTATATAATGACATGGTTTCTATAACTATGATATATCAATACATTATACATAAAAAATCCTTATCCTAAATTTTTTTAATGAAATTTAGATTTTTTCTTGTTTCTTTATATTGTACTGTATCTTTGTACATTCGGTAAAAAAACTACCGTTACAATTCCTGTGCGAAACAAACTGACACTACAAAAGAAGTGTTTCAAAAAGGCCCCTGAGGCATTCCTCGCATTGGTAGCCCTGTGCGTGTATAGGTTCGGCCACACATGCTCGAAACAAGTGATAGGCACTCTGAAACAAGCCAGAGTTAGTGCTCCCATATTAACACAATTTGAAATTTGATCAGAAGTCCATGCCTCATTTCTCCATGTCGAATACACATTGTGAGTGGTGTTGTAGCAGCCTAATATTGTAATTTATGTAATTAGTGTTACCAACATTTCCTGATAACTTGCATAAAGAATGTGTATGTTATATGAACTGTGGAGCTATTCACATGTTTCAGAACAGCATGGTATATTTTCCAATACGAATAAAGAATGACATAATGTGGCATTAGCCCAAAGTGAAGTAGCAGTACAAATTCAGATTCAAAATTTGGTAGCAAAATAATCTTAAACCCTTTCTATACGTATTCACTAATTCTGCCAAACATATAATGCATTCCCATATGGCAACTCATCCACTTCCATGGTTACTGTAGTCCATGGTGTGTGAAACATTTAATATAACATACAGTTTAACTTATCTAGATATACTGACATTCTCCATTCATATTGTAACAAAGTAATTCAATATTGTCAATGAAATAGCTAATTTTGGCCTACCAAATTAAGTACAAAATCTCTCACAGTCAGGCCTACCAACCCTCGTGAGACACCGGGAATGTTCAGTTGGAAAATCATCGAACCCCACCTGTACGGTAGTTTTTTACCGAGTGTGCATCACACTATTTTGCATTGAAACTATACTGCTAACTATTAATGTGTCCATGATATATAAGGGTCTTCCTTAAGGCCAACCAGTAAAGAAACCCTGGTCAGCATGCTCTCCTCACAAGCGAGCGGACGTGGGTTTGATTCCCGGGCAGGGTGAAACTGTGGGCAAGTTTCTTTACGCCATTTGCCTCTGTCTACCCAGCAGTAATTGGGAACCTGGATGTTAATCGATTTACGGATCGTATTCCGTGGTAATGGTTAGCCAGTGCATTTGGCGAATTGCCCAGTCTTCTTGGACTATTCCTTGACACTGAGTTATGCAGCTCGATAACTCAGGGTGTGGTTGTTGTGTTGGTGACAGCTTGTACACCTTAAACAAATTCACGCCTAGGTGGCCTTTGGGCCGGCCATCCTCGTTACATGAGTGGTAACCATTATTATTTATTACTTGCCAACAGTATGCAACAGACACGTGACCTACTGCTCAGGTGGCTAGCGAGTAACGAGCCGATCAAGCCTGAGATTTTCTGGAGACGGGCATACAAATATACCTATCTTATATTTGAGGTGTCACTTCTTCTAGGGCAGTGGACACCACGTGGTGTATTTTAATACTGTACATCTACTGTCCATTCCACAGGTACAGTACATTTGTGATCAGTTTTTCTTCAATAAGAGAAGCAATAATACCACTAGGTTGGTTATTTTTAAAGACATCAATGCATGTACTGTGTGCATGCATGCATGCATTATTGATTATTTGAGAAACTTGAGAATGGTAAACAATCGGTAATTCACCATTGTGAACAAAATTACAAAATGGGGAAAAGACTTTTCTCATAGGAGCAGGTCCTTTGTGTACAGTATTAACAGGAAATCCTCTTCCGGTGTTACAAAACACACTTCTTAGAAAAATTATCTATAAGATCAACAGGATATAAACCATCCGGGAAACATGGGGTACCGCTTAAATATTATTGGCTTCTGTCACTTTACTTGTATTATCCTTTTTTAGGAGTTACTCATAAATTCATTACATTTGAATATAAATAGACACGTCTGTACCATGCAATTTTAATTAAAGTTTCAATTTGATTCTAATACTGTACTTTGACTTATCCAATTAATCTCTGGATATTCTTGTTATGGTATTGTATTGAAATATTTTTCCTCTCACCAAGAAGGGAAACAAGACTTTCACGGGAAGGCTACTCTGATAATACCAATGTTACTGATTATCATAAATTTTATGATAGTCTTGTCTCCTCGTGGTGTTGATGATGAAGTGAGTTTTTGGTTTTTGTGTCTTTGTGAACATCACCAGTACACTATCTGAAGTATCAGTTTTATGACTGAAATCAGTGAGAAGTAGAAAAGTTAACAATTCTTCTTGAAGCTCGATATTATTCCTCAGTTGTATGGACACTTGTGCATACAGAAAATTCCAATACCTTTTCTTTAATGCAGTATTGTACTCAGGAATTTTTGTACAGTAAAAAGTAATTACTATTGACCTCAGAATACCACCTAATATCAAGTACACATGGCTTCAAATTGGCCTCAAAATTCCAAGGGGGAGGAGCCGGAAGTATTACAGTATACTCTATAAATTATTCATTATCATAGAGAGCACCAGAGTAGTGCGTCAACTTCCAGCACTCACAGTGTAGCAAGTGTCTCCATGCTGGTTCCAAGCATCTCTCCAGGGATCTACTCCTGCAGGAGTATGTGTATGACGGTGGTGGTCACCTTGTTGGTGTGTGTTTGCTGCAGGCTTTTCCAGACAACGCTAGCACTGCCCTTAGGTAAGTTCTCACCTGCATCTACTTAGGTACAGTTGTAAGGGGGGGGTGGGGATCAAATGTTTTTATTATTTCTATTTATCTCTTTGAATATCTTATTAATACATATGTCTAAGAGGAGAGTTTTCCTTTATAATTTTTTTTTCTATTTCTCTTTTCTGTTATTATATTGTAACTTATATCACTTTCTTTAATTTCTTTGGTTAGGTTTTCTCAGTTATTTCTGTCTTATATAACTTTCTTTACTTTTCTTTGTTACATTATCCTTTATTTTTTTATGTACTTGCTAATTCTGTTTTAAGATATTTTCGAAGTACTGTATGTCTTTCAATGTTTTTATTTATTTATGTATTTCAATATTCTTTATCTTTCTTTTCTATGTCGTATATATGTCTTTCAATGTCATGATTTGTTTCTTATCTTTTCCTCTGACTTCTTTCAATATTTATCAGTGATATAGTTATATTCTATTCAATGGTTTAACCTGGGAAAACCATATCATTCTTTAACAAAATCTATGAGTATAATTATTATACTTACAAGGTAGATTGCCACCACCCAGGCTTTTATTATAATATAACTGGTATCATTAATGTGTTAGGTAGCGTGGTAGACTAGCTTTTAGGCACGTGGGTTGCAGTGTTTATTTTCTGAGAAACAATTGTTAGAAGGAAAAGAGCAGTGATACTCACAATTTACTAATTCATTATTTATTGAAGTTAAATGTGAATAAGAAGACACTTTGAACACTCTCAAACAAGAATGGACCACAAGGTCTTACTTTATAAGTAACAAACTAGATCTTCGATTAACATTCAACATTTTATACCTTCTTAAGGGTATTATATTATTTCATTGACAATAAAGATGGTCATTTTACACACTTGCTAATAGCTTAGATATTAATACATTAATTATAACATCATGTTATTTCTGAATGAACAACATGGAACATGTACCAGATCTCAGTTGGGAGTAAACATTGATGGTTTACTCACAATGCATATAACAAACTCTAATACTGGTGATAGCAATATTTATGGTTTCCATACTCAACCTGGGATAATTATATTTCTGTTAATTATCCACGGTCATGTACATGAACACTACTTAGCACATATAACTGAGATTAGTACACCAGGGTCATTCACTGGTGTTTACTGCAACAAATGAAGTGTGCTATTAGTGTCGGTTGGACTCTGGCACGCAGGATAGAGAGCACATCTTCCCGGGTGTAGCTCCCCGCGTGTTACAAGTACTCCTCTGTTTTTAATCTTTCTGAATTAAAGACATCCAGCCTTGGACATCTTGCTAGTAGGCCTGCAGGTATTCGGCTACAACACACTGTGCCTGAGTTACAATGAGGGAACGTTAAAAAAGTGACTCTCCCTCGCGCACGCAGTTATATACCAGGTAACTGGCAACTTCAGGCCCGCTGAACATGCAATTCATGCATTGACATACACTTCATTTAAATCACTTGCTGTACATTTGGCTATGAAAATCAGTGTCATACTTACTTTTTTTTACTTTTATCCTCTTCACCACTGATCGGCTTGTTAGTCGCTTGGGCAATCGGTCACGTCATGGGTCAGATCAATTTCTTACATCTGTTGTTTACAATCTAGTCAGAGTTCAAGCTTGCCAGGCAATAGTGAAATGGATGTCAAAGGCACAAGTTGATAACGTCTTTCTTACGACCTTATCAAAATATAGACAAGGGCCTACTGAAAGTTTGCCGTTAGATCCTGGAGATAAGAAGACTGACATATTCTTTCAGGATATTAATTACTTTCTAGGATAAAATACTGACAATAATTTCAATACAAACATCAGGTTCTCTGGTGATTGGGAATTAAAATGATCTAACTTCAGTATCAGTTGAAAACTCAGGGCATCCCCAAGGACGATGTCAGGGATTCGTCACTTCTACTGGCAGACTCTACACTAACTTATTGACAATTTTACTAACAGTAAATACAGTTGAAGCTTTCAACATCACTCACAAGGGATCTTGAATGTTTCATCTGTAAGTAGACATATCTAACTTAATGTAAAACAGGTGTGTTCTCTCTTAATTTCAAATCTCTTAACAGGATATGAGGTACAGGTATTAAGAAATATCAGTCTCTGAGGTACATGAGAGAAGACGGAAGACTCAGGCGTACTGAAGCGGTGAGAAAGCGGACGTCTCAACTGGGGGACTTAATAAAGAAGTTATAACTGCATGTTTTATGGGCTATTGAGCATAGTATGAATCATCTGATTTTATGTTAACTAACATGTACGTCCGTAGTCAGTACACAGTAGTACTGTACATATTAGCTAGCACGACATTCACCTCCATGAATACCAGCCCTGTCTCCTGGCGAACATAACTCCCGTATTTTTCTATTTCTTATGTGGAAAATTGATTCCGTTAACGTTGTTTCCGTTAAAGTCACGGTTTTCAGGAACGGAACCGCGATGTTAAGCGAGGACTTCATGTAGCTGTGCTTAGAAGTGGTGTTTAGCAGATTTCCCCTAAGAACATATTAACAGTTAAATAACTAATTGGCCATGTTACCAAACTTCTTCACCTTACAATCCTTCTACTATAAATTCTACCTATACCTCCTACCCAAGTTACCCTCATTACACAATACTACTTGCCCAGTACTTGCCAACAGTGCGTAAAAGTCATCACATGACCGAGCTGCTAACAATGGCAGAACAGGAGAGGGAGGATCAGGCACTTATGCCTGAGATTTTCCAGATCGAGGTCAAGTGCTTGATTTCACAGATGCAGGAGAACCAAATCATATAAACCATTATATGTTTCAGAGTTCAACTTCAAGGATTGTGATAACTTGCACATTGAGCACTATCATGGTGATGTATTAAACCTGATATATTCAAGAGCAATGTTGGTTCCAGAAGGGAATAGGATGTGTCGAGCATATATTTTTTTATGGGACTTGTGTGAGGAGTTACTGGAGAAGAGAAATAATTTACTTTGGACCATTATTGGACCATTATGAATTAAATACTCTGGAGATGGTGGAATTTTGTACAGTGGGATTCTGTATGACGAGATTTTGTCGGTGTAACAAAAACAGTCAGAATTTAAGGGTAACCCGTGTCTGCCACAGCGGTGCTTCCCTAACACACAACAGCTGTTTTGCATTTTTGAACCATCGTGTAAGTCCCCACCCCTTTCCACAAAACACACACGCACACAAACGAGTAATCGTATTTTACTTTGTGTGCAGATCTGTGCTTGGAGGAAAGTCATGACAAGTCATCCCAGATCCCATTCAAGGATAATCTCGAGTTTTACTTCTACATGAGCCGGTCCAACCCTCCCTCCACTTTCAAGCTGATATTGGAGGGTGATGACGACTCATCTGAGCAGTATTTCAAGTTTGTCAGGTACGTACATTAATGTTGGTGTCGATCATAAAAAAAGTCTATAACTGAAAGACGTTTCCCTCAGTGATTAAATATTTTTATGTCTACGTCGGTGTGTTAGGGTGTACACAAATTAAAGTTTCTGTCAAAGTGGGCCATTAGGTCAATGTTACCCACTTTAAGTGTATCTCATTGACCTGACGGCCTGCTAGGAGTGTGAACACAGTGCACTGAATGGCTGTTACTGCACTCAACATCCATCACTTCTACGATTGTAAAGTTAGGTTCCCATTTACACCTGGGTGAACCTAGGGTGTTCTGAGAGTGCTGTATCCGATTGGCCACCACATCCCTGATACATGTGTTTGTATGGACTTAAATAGATTAATGAAATTCTAGTTGAATAGTTGGTCAAAGAAATATTCCTTCTTTGTAATGAATCTTGAAATATCTAAGGCCAGACTCTTTCTTTTACTGCAGAAAGATATTAAGAACATTAAAAAAATCTGAATTGACTGTGAAACATGTGAAATGCACACAAGAAGGTCATAGCCCCAAGACTAGTTTACAAACGACCGCTACTGACACTATTACATTCAACTATTTGTGAAAGATGATGTAATGTAACCAACAAGCTTCAGCTATTTTCATTAGATAGGTTAAGTTAGATTAATTTTGGTTCTAATCATCTTTTATAAAATATGTAAGAAATTGTGCTTAGCATTTTTTAACAAAATTTATTATTGTAAACCATAGTAGACCTATGGAATGGTCTACCAGCCCAAGCTGTGGAATCAAGAATAGTACTGTACTGGGCTTCAAAATAGCCCCTGACATAATTATATAAAACAATGGAGGGACCCTACACAGGCCTTTGGTACTACAGGTATATAAAAAAAGGGTAGGTCTCTAAGTCCTTGCAAGTGTACTTATAGCTATAACCAGTTTAGTACTTTCTTACACAAGAACGTACTAGTAATATTTATGTACTGTATTTCCTAAAATATCCCTCTCATCAGAAATGGCAATAAGTATGACATTTCCACGTCTACTGAGGAAATGTCAATTCGCATGGCGACTGAAGGTTGGAAGAACTGGACCCTAGACGTGAACAGTAATAACCATCTGCAACTCACTTGCCAGGATAGAGTCACCCTGAAAGTCAAGCTCCAGGCACATAAGGATGTCTGCTACAATCTATTTCTCCTGACGGATTACAACTTCCCACGCAGGTTCTGTTACCCAGGTTGGGAAACTACAAAAAGTTGTCAGTGTTTGGCAGTAGGACAAGTGACTTAGCTACCTCTAGTCACAGATTTCATGTCTTATTTTCCCTGTTGTCTTACAATTAATTTGCTTTTTAAGCATCATAGTAAAGAACATTACACAGGATTCACATGTAGAGTTCTTTTTTTATATTCTGTAATTTAGTTATCATGTCTTCATTTCTTTCACAGTTCCTGCACAAAACTCTCTTATAGAAAAGTTTTCTATAAGTTAACTTTTTGGAGAACAGAATATATTTATATCATGAGGAGTATTTTTATTTTTGTAAAAAAATATGATTAAAAATAGCCTTTTGAAGGAGTGACCCAAACGGACTCATAAACTTCCTTATCTAATATATAAATTCCTCATTTCAGATGACAATAACATGTGTGTGAGGACAAATACCATACCTCCTAAAACCACCACTACAACAACCCCTGAAACTACCACCACAACCACATCGCCTGAAACTACCACCACAACCACGTCGCCTGAAACTACCACCACAACCACATCGCCTGAAACTACCACCACAATCACGTCGTTTGAAACTACCACCACAACCACATCTTCTGAAACCACCAGCACAACCAAGGCAGCAATTCCCGCTTGGCCCTTCACCACAGCAACAACTAGCGAGACTATTGAGTCGGAATATACAACTACCTCCATGGAGATAGTCGTCAAGGAAGTTAGCTCGGCAAAAGGCTTGCCTGACGCCGCTGGCCCCGCCCTCCTGCTGGCGTTTGTGATGTTACTGGCTTGACGGGATGGACTGTGTTCCCAATTGCAGCGATATCCATGGGTAATAATGGCCCAGTAGTGGGGTCATGACAGACCTCTTGTTGAATTTATCACCCACTTGTGTTATAAGGGAGTGTGCTGAAATTCTGTCCCCTGTGCTTGCTCGCCACTTTCGCCTTTGCCTCAAAATCCAAACTTTTCCTTCTTCTTGGAAGCATTCCTTGGTTCAGCCCATCCCGAAGAAGGGTGACCAGTCTAATCCCTTTAACTATCACCCTATTACCCTAACTTCATCCTTCTCTAAGATTTTCGAAACTTTCTTAAACTCATTTTCTTCATCACCTTGAACACCTTTCTCATTTGTCGGATCACCAGTATGGCTTTCACCAGGCGAGATCTACGGGTGATCTGCTGTCTACTACACCTATCTTTGGTCATCCTCACTTTGGGATTATGGGGAAAATTTCATAGTGGCTCTCATCATCTCCAAGGCATTTGATATTTGCTTTCTAAACTTCCCTCTTCTGGATTCTCTCCCTCATTTTCTTCTCTAATTTCCAGCTTCTTTGAGAACCGATCCATGGCAGTTGTTGTTGAGGGATCGATCTCTCACTCTTTTTCTACCAATAGTGGTGTTCCACAGGGTTCTGCTCTTTCACCTACTCTCTTCCTTCTTTTTATCAATGATTTACTTCACACTAGGACTAATTCTATCCAGTTTTACGCTGATGATTCTACTCTAAACGCTTCTTCACAATTTTCCCTTCCCCCTAATTCTCAAACTAGGTCTGTTTCTAGAGCTGATATCGTTCCATCTATCAAAGCAGATCTGTGCAGCATCTCTGAATGGGGAGGTAGAAACTTGGTTAAATTCAATAGGTATAAGACTCAGTATTTGCCAATTACACTTTCCATAATAGAAGATCTCCCACCAATCACATTTCAGGATGCAATCATTCTGCCAAATTCTAAAATAGATATGCTAGGCCTCACTATTTCCTCTTAATATGTCATGGAAGCCACACATCCACAACATTGCTAAAGCTCAGGGTGCAGTGCTGCCGGAGCTCACCGGAGCACCGCTCCGGCACCTCTGTTTTGATCAATCAATCAATCAGTCAATATCGCCGACGCCTTGTTCCCTCCCGGGAACTCTCCAACAGAAGTGTCTCCAGGCCATTTTATCCTTACACACCTCACTTGCTCTCTCAAACACTCTTCCTCCCTTTCCCGCTCTCTCTTCAACAAACTCTCTTAACTCTTTTCTCCCAGGTGGCAATTGGTCTACCCCTCTCTCTTGCTGTCATAAACTTTTTTGTCAGCCTATCTTTATGCATCCTCGACACATGTCCATACCACTTTAGTGTATTCCTCTTCATCCACGCCACCGCACCACACTTCACACATGAAGTTATAGTAAGCTATAAATCTATATCAATCAAGCAATCAACTTTATTTTGCATTAATAATACATAAACAGAACGGAATATATCCTCATATAATTAATCTCTCCTTCAGATCAGCTAACATTTTATGACTTATCAATATTGTAGAAAGATTTTGATAACAGGTGCACATATAAATACTTAAAAACGGTACTTTTTCAAAAGTTGATATGTATTTCCTCTCATAAAAGCTATAGATATGTGACCAATATCGAAAGGATAAGCACATTAGACTATTACTAGATCAAATATTTTATATATATATATATATATATATATATATATATATATATATATATATATATATATATATATATATATATATATATATATATATATATATATATATATATATATATATATATATATATATATATATATATATATATATATATATATATATATATATATATATATATATATATATATACACAGTAGTATTTATGCGGTCAATTGAACCCATGGGGTACCGGGAAAGTAAAAACCGCGTAAAGTGAACAACAGAACATATGGGATTAATTCCAATAGAGACTGGCCTGACCCCCAAACTCCACTTTTTCAGACACAATACCTACGTTGTAGTAAAAATTACATCTTAATTTTATGATGGCATGCACACACAATTAATAATTAAGAGAAATACCAATAATATTAGTTTTTTTAACACTTACATTAGTAGAAAAGATGGCTGGGCACACGGGGATGGGGGGTTGGTTCCGAGGCAGAGGGCAGATTATTGGCCCTCACCTGTATCACTTGTATCAATTGTATCACTATCCACCACATAGACTTGCAGGGCCTCTTTGTCAAACCCCTCAAAGTCCATATAAGTCCATATCCTCACTATCACTATCACTGACTTAGGCCGGCTGTGGTGGGTGGCTGGTGAAGAACTCGGTAATGTTTTGATGACTGGGCGACCTTGTGCGCATCCTGCTCGCGCCGCTTCCCGCGTATATGAGTAGATGCACCGCGGAAAGTGAAAGTTCGGTTCTGGCGAGGCACCGCGTAAATGAGAAATCGCGGAAAGTGAAACCGTGTAAAGCGGGGTAATACTGTATATGCTGATAACCACAAGGAAAAAGAAAACATGAAGCATATACCTGAATCACGTGTACCTGTGTACCTACAGTGATTTACTTGCATATATATATATATATATATATATATATATATATATATATATATATATATATATATATATATATATATATATATATATATATATATATATATATATATATATATATATATATATATATATATATATATATATATATATATATATATATATATATATATATATATATATATATATATATATATACTGATAAAGAAACAAGAAAACACGAAGTTCCCAAGCATTTTCGTGTAATTCATGTCTTCAGGTGTGAGTACAGACTAAGGAATAATACTTGACAAGGCTAATATATACAGTAGAGGAGAGTGAGATCAAGTCCCTAGGGGACAGCAGGTCTTGTTCTCACCCTCCTCTACTGTATATATTAGCCTTGTCAAGTATCTCAAGGGGCACTACTCAGTCGAGTGTCCTTACTTGGAACTGGAAGGTGCTTATAAAATTCAATAAGCTCTCTCTGAAACTCATGGGAGTCCCGTGCTCTCTCAATGGCTACTGCTACTCGACTGAGCATGTTTGATCTTACCTTGTAACATTGCCACACACTATCCAACATGTTTAACAAACGTCATGTTGGACGAGAAAATGTGAAACTTGTTTAATCTTCAAACATATTGGTCATACCCGTAAACTTGCCCACAAACTGTTTGATCAAACACCATATTTGACAAACATATTTGATAGTGTGTGGGTGCCTGAGAGAAGTGACCGATCGCCCAAGCGGCTAACGAGCCGATCAGAGATGAAGAGGATAAGAATAAAGTATCCAATTGTAAACCTGTATGGCAACTTTATTCAATAATAATAATAATTATTATTATTGTTATTATTATTGTAATTATTATTGTAATTATTATTAATATTATTATTATTATTATTAATATTATTATTATTATTAATATTACTGGAGTATTATTATTATTATTACTGTATTATTATTATTATTATTATTATTATTATTATTATTATTATTATTATTATTATTATTATTATTATTATTATTATTAATATTGTTATTATTATTATTATAATGGCAAACAGTAAGGCAGTAAGATGAAGTATAGCAAACAAAGCTGTCAGATACATGAGAGGAAATATAAGGCACTTGAGAGTGAAGTAAGAAAACGATCTGTGACGAAGAGGACAGAGTAAAATAAACTTACAGGACTTGACATAGTTTCCCTTATCTCCTGGCGAGTGTCTATTCCTTTCCTCCTTTAAGCCCGTTCTGATTTTCTTAAACTTAGTTATGTCTACTCTTTCAATTTTGTTATATTTGGTGTTTATTAGTCCTGCATTTATCAACTGGTCTATGTAGGATTCTTCTACCCTGACATCTTCGTAGGTGAATTTGACTGTGCCTTCCTTGATTTCTTGCAGAAGTCTATCATTTGTTATTGTAGGTGGTGTGTTGACTGAGTAGAAGCGGATACCGATCTCATTTCCTAGGTCTGCTGGCTGCACATCGCTTGGTGAAGATGGAGGTGGGGGGGGGGCACGATGGCCAGAGTGGGATTCTTTTCTTGTTTTCGCTTTGGTTGGGTCAGCTTTTGCAGGTTATAGTTTCTCTGTTTGCTGAGTTGTGGAATCTGATGATTTGTGGTGTGGTGTAACTGGTTGGCTGATAGGGTCTATTTCCATGACGTTTTCTTCTGTGACTAGTTTGGTTGTGTGCTCCTGTGGTTTAGTTATTCCTAGGCTATTCTCGGTGACAATTTTAAATATTTCTGTTGAGGGGACGTCGTCTGGAAATTTCACCTCCGGCAGATTATTTGCAGCAAAGATTTCCCTGATCGTTTTTCCAACAGATCCTGATTTTGCAATGTTGTTGATGTGTGCATGAATAATACTAGTTAGAATTGTGAATGGTAATCCTTCGCTCAGATTAAGGTATGTAGGTTGCATGAGGGGATTTTCTTTGGTTTTCTTCAGGACTTTGGAGGTGGTATCTTGCAGCTTTGCAATTGCTGCATATGTCTTGTTAGGATCTGTTTCTATCTTCTTATTTGCCTTTTCTTTTTCTCTCGGATTCCTAATTATTTCTTTCCTTATGGGACAGCGTGCTGCTAGTGTTCGGTGGTCCCCATTGCAGTTCAGGCATTTGTCGTTATCTTTATTGCTACATTCTCTGAATGTGTGGCCCTTTGCTGTGCATTCGGAGCAGAACTTCTTATCTTTTTGGGGACAGTTTATTGCTAGATGATTGTATTTGTAGCAGTTCCAACAGGGTGTTATTGCGTAAAATTCCTCCTGCTCGATTTGTTGTTTTGACAGGTGGTAGTGGGAGATACAGAGGCCACTCTCTAGGGCTTTTTGTGCCATGGAGATCTCTCCAAACCTGACCTTCATCATGGTGGGAGCACCAGGCATTAGCACCACCTCCTCAACTCTGGCCCATGGGTTCTTCTCTTCTATATTGTTAGCAATGTAGCTTGGTGTTTCTTTCAGTATATTTCTATCTACCCTTTTAATAACTACAGATTTTTTTGCACGCAGTTGTGGTGGTATTACTGTTTCAAATCCCCGTTCTTTTAATTTCTTTGTTGAGTCGGCAGAGAGCATGTTGTCTACATCCTTTTCTTCCAGGCACAGGACTATGAAGGAGTCCTTTGTTTCGATCAAGGCGGCGAATTTGATGTCTAGCTGGGCACATAGTAGTCTGCCCAGTTCCTCCTTGCGTTTTTCGGATACGCCCCCCTGGAGGGAGTGTACCCGTATCCTGTTTCCAGTTGTCCTGGTTATTTGCTTTGGTCGTTCGCCGTGGCATCAGTCTTGTTGTGATTTGACGAAAGTTACAGGCACCCTACCTATTCCGGGCGAGCAACCTAAACACAGGAATTACAGCACTCCCCACCGCCAATTGCTGGTCGAGTGGTCGTGGAGTGGTTCCTGTGTCACTCACCCAGAAGCCCCGTTAGGGGAACCTATTTCCCTATTGTTGATAAGTGCTCACTTATAGGCGTGAGCTTTAAAGTGTACCTATTCGGGGGGTGGAGGATTAAGGATTGCGACCCCCTTCCTAGGTGGAGCCGCACGATCACGGTTACCCAGGAAGGCTCGGCAGAGGGATGGGTTCTGCTCCTACCCCCTTTCGTGTTCACAATCTTCTACGGTGAAGGTGAACAGTTACAGGGGTGACCCAAGGACGAATACACCTCTAGGGTGCAGGTCCCCAGGCCAGAGCGAAAAAGAAGGAAGATCAAAGAAAAGCAGCCACTGATGCAAGTAACACCAGTGGGATCGCGGCCCAAGTCCACTGCAGAAAGGCGTTACAGACCTCCCAATCAGGGCCGCCTCTGATCAGGAGTCACCCCTGATTAGTGGGGAGGCACAGAAAAGGCGTTGTTTGGAACGAGCTTCCCGGGTGTGTAAGTAATGGTGGTGAGGTGGTCGTTTTCGTTCGGGGGTCATCAACGGTTAGACAGGCTGGCAGGCTTTAGCAATGAAGGGTCAGAAGAGGGGTCCGTTCACGGCCTCCACCATACTTCAACAATGGCCGCACACCATATAATATATATTTTCTTAAAGCTAAATACTTTAAGTTTTTATGCTAATAACCAAAAACTATGTATTGTAATTTACTCTGAGAAAGTCGAGACAAAATAATGATTTATACTTCATTATTAAATACAAGAATTTATATTATTCAGTGTTGCTTTAGTACGATATAAATAAATATAATTTTATCTATACAGTATTATTTTAAGTGTGTGGTGATCAGTTTCCCATTTTCTACAACCATAAAAACTCTGGTAAATATTTCACAGGGACTTACTAAATATTTTCTAAAGTAGATCTAACTTAACCTTATCTGACCCAGCCCAATTTCGTAGTTGTAATGTAATTGAAGTACTAGATGGAATAATGCTTATATGGTTGCCTTACCTCCGCCTTACCTGCCAAACGAAGCAATTGTCCAAGACTTGAAGGCTATAACTAGGTGACTTTTAACACATCCTGTACCATGTATTTTGGATTAATTCTGTATAAAATTAGGTTAATAAATTGTTAATCTTTATGATAATTGGTTGATAATCCCAAAATAGGGTAATGTGGATATCCGTGTACTGTATGATAATTTTACTGTACGATAATTTTTCTCCGAATATTAAACAAGCAGCGTTCGTAGTAACACTTTAACATTGGCCAGTGTTATTAAGAGCCTGGTACACGTGCTGGTGGAGCCTGGTGGTGCCTTCACTATGGGGGCCAGCAAGAAAACAGTGGAACTCTCGTTGAAACACCTGAAAGTCCCTAATTTTGGCAAGATTCCCCAAACCCAGAATGAGGTAGAAACTTGCTACGTGTAAAGTTAATGGCGTTAAGTAGATATTTCCAATGTTTAATAGAATCTCCATAAAAGTTTTCAGTGGTTCATCATACACTTTACATAAGAACATAGGAATGGAGGAAACTGGGCAGTCCCATTTACACCCAGCCCCTATTGCTCATATATCCTAACCTAACCTAACTGACTCGCCATATGATGGAATCACCTATTTTTTACCGTATTGCCGTCTCTTTTTTGTCGTTGGGATAAGGGACGAGTTAGGACAACGCCACATGTTGGTTTTTACCATATTTACATTGTCTTGCACTTATGACACTTTACTGAGGTCGGGAGAACACCATGCGATTGAAAAAATTTTAGCTTCTTCGTTTTTTTCCCCAAAACTCGCAATCAGCTCCATATAATTTAAGTGACACCCCCAGACTTCCATGGTCGGAAATGAATATGAATTTGGAAATATGAGAGAGCCAAAGTAAAAATCGATTTTGATTGGGCCAAAAATACCGCAAATTAAACCAAAAATCATTTTAATTGGTTGCAAAAAAAACCCGCTTTTGATTGGCCGCGTGACGTGTACGGGAACGCATGCGCGTGATGATTTATGAAAGAGACACGCAGTATGGGAGGTGAGGTAGGCGATAATGGCGGAAGAATAATGGAAGAAAATTTTGGATACGACATCTCCGTTATTATACATTTGCTCCGGTAATGTAATAGATGAAAATTATCTTATAATTAGACGTCTTATTCGAATATGATAATAGATTAGTGGTAGGAATGTGTGGTGTGAAAACACAATAATACCGTTTAAAGTTTAAGCTTGTCTAATGAGGCCAATTGGATATAAAGTATTTATTAAGGCAGTGGTTATTTGTCCTGTCACTGACCTACCAGTAGACTAATAACGCTATCCTAAACAAGCAGGATCCTGCCCCACTGGATGTGACGGCATTAGGTTTAAAAATCCACAATTACAGAAAGCTGTCATGTTAGGTTGCGTGATTCTTTGGATGCTGTAATCTGCAATTTTGATCAACTGTCAAAGTAAGCGATAAAATTATTCTGTAGTTTCAATCATCTCTGTATTTAGATATCCGGTATTATTTTATTTTCGGACATAGCGCCCCCGAAAGTTATAAACTACTGAAACATTTAGATCTCGCTATTCTGAGCATTTTGAACTCTCTCTCTCTATATATATGGTGCAAATGGATAATAGCAACACATGTCCTAAAGTAAAAAGGAGATGTTTTTTGGATGATACTGAGTAATAAAATTGAAGTGACAACATTTTAGTTTTTAGTTTTTTCTCCTTTTAAGACTGTCCTTCAATCATAAATTACTTGTGAGTGGGCAGGGCATGAAAAAAGAGGGAAATGATGGGGTAAAAACACTGCAAACATACGGCATTGATTTTACTCCTACATCATTTATAGGTGAAGAAATAAAATATTTTCCGTGATTACAGTGCTGTCGGATCTCATGTGGGGACCATGTTTTGGTTCACATCGTCTGCTATGTGGGAGCATCCACTGTCTTTGTTTACATGTCAAGAAACAAACCGATATCATCTGGCGTGTTTATTATGATTTATATTGGATTGAATTCATTAATTTTTTTCTAGAGATGTTGTTTGGATTATCATCCAAACAACATCTCTAAGAAAATTGAAATGGCAGTTCACAGTTTGGGAAGTTAGGTGAGGTTAGGTTAGGTTCTGTGCATTCTCGCTTCCATTTTTGTGTTGATTACAGTATTATGCAGATAGTATCTTCAGAAATTTTGGTTCAATTCCATAAGTTATTTCTGGTGCTAACTGTCTCCTCCACCTTTACAATTTTGTCTATTTTACAAGAAATGACATTAAGTTTTAAAACTTGTTGGAATGGTAAATTTTTACTTTCAGAAAACATGGAAATCTTAGGAATTTTATCTTTGCAATCAATAGTTTAGACCATTTTAAGAAACTTTTTTCTGTGACATTTCCCTCGCAAATGACCTGAACTAATCTCCTTACGTGGACACTGGACATGTATATATAAGTTGTTTGCGAGAGAAACATCATTGAAAAGTGTCTTAGAATTGTCTAAACTATTGATTGCAAAGATAAATTTCTGTGTTGGAAGATCTCGTGGATGAGGTTCAAGGACATTTCCTGAGTCTTCTTGGTTTGATGAATTGTTGATTTTATTAATAAAAGTAAATGAATTATAGTTTTATGTGCTTAAAAAAGATAGGTAGTACAGGTATATATTCCTTTGGAAGTGTAAGAAAACACTGAAAGTGTCAGGTTTTATTGGTGACCGAACAAAAGAACATACTGTACAGTACTTCATTATAGAGCAGGAATATTGACCTCACCCTTACAAGTTCAGGTCAGTACTGTGTTGTTGTTTTGAATTTTCTATTTGGAACAGATTTATTGATTTGATTTTGCTTCATACTGTAAACGAAATACATTTAGTAGCTTTTTTTTTTTTTACTTCACATAACATGTACAATAAAAAAACTTAATTGTCACATTTTTATACCTTGCTTTTCATATTTTCAGGCTATTCAGGCTCTGGCAGCTCCCCATGTGGAGTCCTTTAACTTTTTATTACAAGAAGGTTTGCAAGCTGTTGTCTCGAACATTCCTCCATTGGAATTTGCCACAGATAATGGAAATAGAATTTCATTGAAAATTGCAGTAAGTTTTTGTTGTTGTTCTTAACTATTAAGTTTTATAAGGAGATAGTGCGAGACAGACAGAAAAAGTCTGTGAATCCAGTAGTCAGAAGGTTACCCTACCATTGGCAAGTTTACCTAATGCAGGTACACCAGTGTATTTATTTTATTGCTGAGTGTTCAAGGAGGGAACCCATTTCTCCACTTTGGTAGAAAATTGAGCCTGTACAGTAACCCTTTGTATGTAAGGTGCAACTATTGTCTAATTTGTTGTACTTTCTTTGCACAAAAGCAAGACTTCTTGGATATTGAAACTAATGTACGGTACTGTATAGGGAGTAAGAGGTTATCTCTATCCTTAAGACTTGATTTATGAAAACGTGAAAAAATTGTGACCTGTATATGTGTATTTTGTTTTTTAGAGGAAGTGATTTCAGATTATTTCTTGGCTGATGTAGATAAATCTTTATGGCATAGCTTTAATATGTTTCAAGATATTTATTGATGTTACAACTTTTGTACAAAATGATGTTTCAGAATGTTGCAGTTGGCAGGCCAAGATTGCCACCAGGAGCTGGGGAAACTGTAGATTACAATATTTACCCCAAAGAGTGTATTGAACGTGGATGTTCTTATACTGCACCCTTCGCTGTAAGCTTTGAGTGGACTCGGGATAAGCAAGAGATGTTGTCCTTCAGGCAATCTCTTGGGGATGTACCCATAATAGTCAGAGTAAGTGATATTGGAAAGTCTTCTTCCAACAAAAAAAGATTTTTTTCCCAGATTTATAATCTTGAAAATGAGAAAAATAGTAACCCATGTGTACTGAACATGCATTCATTTTCATATATACAGTACCTTCACTTTCTCCAACAAAGGCACCAATTGCAAAAAGTATGAACATTTTAATATGTAATAAAAAGGGTTATGTCAATATTCTGTATAGTAAAGAAATGAAAAAAGAATAAGCACTGACAGGCAGCACTCCCTTCCCACACCACCCCTCCTCAGGACCAGCCACACTACCCCTCCCCAGGACCAGCCACACTACCCCTCCTCAGGACCAGCCACACTACCCCTCCCCAGGACCAGCCACACCCCTCCTCAGGACCAGCCACACTACCTCCTCAGGACCAGCCACACAGGACCCTCCTACCCTCCTCAGGACCAGCCACACTACCCCTCAGGACCAGCCACACTACCCTCCCCAGGACCAGCCACACCACACCACCCTCCTCAGGACCAGCCACACCACCCCTCCCCAGGACCAGCCACACTTCCTCCCCAGCCACACTACCCTCCCCAAGACCAGCCACACACTACCCCTCCTCAGGACCAGCCACACTACCTCCCCAAGACCAGCCACACTAGGACCAGCCACTACCCTCCCAAGACCAGCCACTACCCCTACTCAGGACCAGCCACACTACCCCTCCCCAAGACCAGCCATACCCCTCCTTGGGACCAGCCACTACCCTCCTCAGGACTAGCCACACTACCCCTCCTACCCAGGACCAGCCACACTACCCCTCCCCAGGACCAGCCACACTACCCCTCCCCAGGACCAGCCACACTACCCCTCCTCAGGACCAGCCACACTACCCCTCCTCTGGACATCACACTTGCTGTAATTGCACACAGTACCCTTGTACATTACTATAGTACTCCCAGGCACCACCCACTCTCCTGCTCTTATACATCCTTATTCTGTGTCTTTTCACTATGCAGGAAAAGTGTTATGCTGACATACAAAAGAGGAAAAAGTTTGTTTTATATAAAGTATTCTTTTACATCTAGGTTTTGATAGATGCTTTGGCCTGAAGAATAGTGTCTACTGGCAAGTTTTAATAGGTTTATTTGTTATTGTGGCTAAATGTATTGTCATTTATGTCAAGTCTTTCTTCACATTGCATTATGCCTTTCAAGATTAAAACTACAGTTTTCTGGTGCAAAAATTTTTCACAGGGAAAATTGTTAACTTCCCAAAAAGAAATTGCAATGTGTAGATCAAATTTTTTGTGGTGGAATTGTTTTGTGTAACCCTGCTAACCCTTTTTCACAATTTCAGTCAAAAAAGTGCAACTTGTACAACCTTAGTCCCAAGGAGCTGGTAAAGCATGGGGAGTTGGTCAATGAGACAGGTGGCTACTTCATCATCAACGGTGCTTGTCGTCTACTAAGGTAACTGTTAAAATATTTTGGTAATGCAAATTTTATTTTCACTGCAGGGTGGCCAGTATCATGAGCAAACACATTCTTTTATTCATTATCATTCAGAGATTCTTATTATTGTAATAAATATGTTATGCAATGGTATGTCCTCTCACAATGAGGTTTCAAATATCCATCTTTTGTACCTCCGTTGCTTCAAACAAAAAACAAGCTAGCATCACCCATCAACAGCACATCCTTCCTCAAAAATCATTTGAATCCTTGTTCCTTACACATTCATTCACACTTCAGCTTCCTGGAATTTTATCTCCCTCCATCTGTTTCTTGGCAGTCTCTCCTTGTTACCATTTCCATCCAAACTTTCACTTCCCTTTCTTTCAATGTCTCCACATCACTTGAACAAACCCAGATTTACTTTTTCCCTGACACTTCTTTTGCTTCAACGTCTCTTAATTATTTACATATTTCTTATTCTCTGCACATTTGCTTTACAATTCATATTGTTCTCAATCATGTCATATCTGTAATTTCAAATTTGTGCTTTCTTCTTGCATCCAGTGTCCATGTTGCACCCCCATAAAGTAATGTCAGCTCAGTATGTAATTGCTTTATTCGTCTCATCTTTGCTGCCATTGATATACTTTTCTTTCCTCATACATTTCTCTGTGCATCCACCATTTTCTTTACTTCTGCTACCCAGTGGTTCAGTCCATCAGTCATTGACTCAATTGCAAATATATTTGCTCCCAGCTAACTGAAAAATTCACTTCCTCTTTTGTCTCCTTTTAAGTTAACATCCATTTTCACCTGTCTCCCTTCTCAACATATTTTCAGTGCTTTACTTTTGTTCATATTCACTATCAACTAATTCTTAATACTTGTAGGGTCTACACTGACATTACAAAGTAATTCATTGACATTTGATACTTTGCTTTTGAAGCTCTACTATGTTGTAGCCCTGTATATCAGTTTGCTTTTTTTTTCACATCAATCTAATAAGAAAATATATTTTTAGAGCATGGAAGTGCTCAAATTATGTTGTTTCAGTCCATTCCTTCCCAACAGGCTGTCAGGCCTATGGGATCTATTTTTCTCTGTCATTTTGTTTCACCATTTAGTCCACCATTGAGTTGTCTTACTGTATGTACTCTTTTATAGGATGTTATCATCAAACCGTAGAAACTACCCGCTTGCCATGACGAGGGAATCATGGAAGAAAAGAAATATTAGTTACACAGATAAGGGCGTCCTAATACGCTGCGTGCAAGCTGATCAGGTGAGGCAGAAGTTTGCGTAATAATTAAATTTCCATTACTGTATATTTTTTTACCCTGATATTACATACTATTGCGTGTCATATTTTCTCGTGTCTGATCAATATTTTCTCGTGCTTTAAGCTGCCTTTTATCACTCTTAAGTGACAGGTTCTTGAGGTGAACTCTTCTTAAGTCTTTTCTGTGGTTTATTCAATTTACACACCACTGTATACAGTATACACTTGATATCTGATAATCCTCTCCAGAGAATAGTCTGAGTAACCCTTGGAGGCATGTCCCTGTTCAGTGGTTATAAGTTATCATTGTTACCTCCTTTTATCTGTCTTCCCCAGAAGTGTTACTTCCTCTGCTTACATAGGCACTTCTTGAGAATATTGGAAAAGTAATATGGACACAATTTGATGTTTTTCCACTGATTCCTGCTGTAACATTTAGCACCTATTTGGAGAAAAAACTAATGCAGTATCTCTAATCTTCTTGTTACAGACTTCAGCAGTAAATTTAGTATGTGTACAGACATGTCATGAATTTAACTCTTTTCACAGACATCTGCAATAAATGTTCTTCACTACTTGACAACAGGAGAAGCAAAGTTGGAGTTTGCAGTGAAGCGGGAATTGTTCTTTGTACCTCTTATCATGATTCTAAAGGCTCTCATGGACTACAGTGACCAGCAGATTTACCAGCACCTCATCCGTGGCCGTGAGAATGACATGTACTTTACAGAGTAAGCTGCTTCAAGGGTTTTGTTGACAAACCTGCGTAGAATTGCTCATTAATACTCAGTAATATAAAATGGTACTTTAGTTTTGAAAATAATAGTCAATATACCACAAGCATTACTCCTACGGATAGGATTAGAGGTGTAACAGATCTCAGTAAACCTATTGTAATTCTTAGCTAAATTACAAGTGATTCCCTGTTTTGATGCAAGGTTACCAAAATCTAGAACAAATATAAACTCTCAATATTAACTGTTGTACCAGGTGCCTTTTCCTGTAGTGTGCCCACTTCTACAACAAGTCTCCAAAACATTCCACTTATTTGTTCCTGTTATTTCATAAATCTTGCATCATCTGTGAACAACATGTCCTTTCCAGAAAAACTCTTAATTGGCAACTGACCATGCCCACATTGTCTCATGTTTGGGATCTTCACCCAACTGCTTGTGGCTGTCAGATGCACATTCTGATAAGCTTCCTCCCACCATGTTGTTTGTAGGGTAACTGAGCAGCTGTGGCATTTTTTACTGTGAATTGTTACTACTGGTGACACATCATTGTATGGTTCATGGCCACTCCAGGATATTTGAAACGAGTCCGAAAACAGCAGCCTATATCTCATACTTGTGTAGGACTTAGGTACCAAGTGTACAAAGTACTAGTAAATGTGAAGGACTGAAAGGGCTAAAACTGGATACCATGGTTGATAAGACAGTATACAATATATAAAATGTAATTGGCAAGGGTTTACTGTACAATACTGTTTGTCCAGATGGATTGATAAATTAACCCTAGCTGAGACTAGAGGAACTTTCTAAGGATTCTAGGACACATAGTAAACTGCTGTGTATGTATTACAAAGCCTTCTGGTCTCATCAAATTATTTTTTTCCCTAACCTTAGATTGTGGAATGTATGCCTGTTATTGTGGCAGGCGAGGACTCGTGGCCTCTGTTTACTGTTTTTTTATAAGGGGATTTTGTTGAGCTAGGAGAAACTGTACTGTACAATATTTCTAGTTTTACTTGATTGATAGAATATATCAGCCACATAAATTAGGGATCCTGGAAACCTTGAGATGTCATCTTGTAGGCTTGTTGATTGAAGTACTGTACTCGAGTGCCTGATCCATGTATGGTTATGAAATGGGATTTCAGGATCATTCCCTCTTTTTTCATGCAAGATATAGTTTGGTAATTTAATACAGTACTTAGAACATAATCATGCCACCTTACTCGAAATTGCTTTAATACACTACAATTTGTGATTTGGTTATGTATAATGCAGGTGATATGATTTAATAATCATATAATTTGTGTAATGATGCTTCTTATTACAGAAAAATTAAGAACATGATGCGTGATCTACATGCAGAAGGGCTATACACTCAAAAGGTGTGTAAAGAATACATTGGAAATTCCTTCCGCCACAGGCTTACTGACAATCTCCCGGAATGGTATACTGATGTGGAAGTGTGTGATTTTCTTTTACAGTAAGTACAGAAGTTAATTGTTTTTGAAGCCTTGGATATTGTTCTTATGTACTGCATCTGTGTGTGTGGATGGAGAAGGGGATGGCAGCTTTGTGAACAAGAGGTCTTAGGCACATGGTAATGGATTGCACTATAATCAGACTTGCCATATGAACAGCAGTGAATTCTCATATAAATACTGCATTTGAAATTTCTGTGTGATGTATGGTGTCAGGTACATGAGGACCCACGTAGACCATATACTGTAGTTATCCTAAGGATACAAAGGCAAGAGCAACTACATCTATTTCTTTTGGGCCTCAGAAAAAAAAATGAAGGAATGCAACTTTCAATATACAGCACATAATTGTTATTCTCTGATGATGATGAGGAAGTGTTTAGTGATGGTGTGGTGGGAGTTTAGGGATGCATGTAATGATCAGGAGTAAATTTTTTCACTTTTCTTTTCTAGTATACAAGAGAGAGAGAGAGAGTACTGGGTTCTGGAACAGTACTTTTTTAAAGGGCTCAACTTGTTTTTGGCAGCATGATTAGGGTAACCTTCAATGCTGTCCAATATATGGGGTCCTACAGCCAACAAACCATCACAGTTTTTAAACTTATACCTTCTGGGTATAAGATGCAGATTCATTTTTCAGGGGGAAATTGTCTTTTATACTCTAGCAGATGTGGTATAAATACTGTACATTTTCATGAGAAAAGAAGGGTTGGGTTTCAGGAATCACTAACGACCTCCATTACTGTAACTTTTTTCTTTATGTAAAGAATTTTAGCCCTTAAATAGCATTAGTATTTGTAAATTATAATGCCATGATTAAAAAGTTTTAATGCTGTACTAATAGGTTATTAATTTGCTAATGTGTTTTTATGATGTCGGCTAGCAAAGCAAATGAGTATTGTACACTATACGCAGCTGCAGTATGGCATCTCACAACACCACAGTACAAGAGATTTTATTTAAGTGTAGGACTTGAGTTTTGTCACTAGTTCAATAGAAATATGGATTCTCTGGGAGATAGTACAGCACAGAGTGGATATGGAGGGAATGGGAGATAATACCCAGAGACTTTGATGAGGATAAAAGATTTGAAAATTTTAGGAGAATGTATGTTAAGAATTCCTACCATGAGATTGAACGACTTACTGACAAAAAGACTTTTATAAAGGGGGTAAATGACATTTGGATATGAGGTTTAACACCACCTTATTTGAAGTACTGTACTTACGCAATCTCCCAAATAAACGATGTCACAATTTCGAGAAACTTTCAATGAGGAAGTGGTATCAGGCAACTACAAGAATCACTATTTTCTTTCTTTTTATATTTGGGGATTAAATTTTGTGGAATAGTATCATAAATTAATTACTTAATGCTAAAGCAGATTTTTATAAGAAATTAAGAAAACATCATGTAGTTAAAGTTTTAGTATACTGTACTATATTTTGAAACAAAATAATATGACACGAGTTATCACTCAGGAACACTCGGTAATAATGTGCAGAGTTAGAATTGCATGTCAAAATGATTGTCGAATAAAAAATATGAATTGAAATAATATTCATGCTCACCACTTTTATGCAATGTCTTTACAGAATAAACAAATGTTTTCAATAGTCACTATCTTGATAGATGATGACGTAGCTAAGTCGAGAAAACATTCATAATAACAAAGCTTTCAGCTTTAGAGGCTATATGCTTAAATAAACATTTATTGTTAATGTATTTCCCTTAGTATTTATAAGAAAATAATTGTCATTTATACCCAGAAAGTACCCTGTACAGTATCTTATTTTTAGAGCTAAAGGAAAATTTTTAAAATGAAACTTTTTCCTTAAGGATTAAATTAAAATTTTGCTAATTGCTAGCTTCTGTGAATGCTTATTCAGTTAATAGTTATTTAAAGTAACAGACACCTTTCATATTGTTCTAAAACTAAACCAACTTAAAAAAAAAATAAGCCATATGCAGAATACTCTATGCCTAAGTGTTATTTGCTTGTGTGGCAGTATCATCTTTCCCTGGCTGTCCATTTTTTACCTGCACACATCTTTTAAGCATGAGATTGGGATATACAAAAGCTTTTCCTTTTACTACCTTTCTTGAAGCATTTTACCTGCAAAAAGATTAGGTAGCAAAAAGTTTGGCTCAAGAGTTCATTAATACACCAATTTACTACATTTGTGTCCTGTGGTCAGTCACATGCTTGGCTCCCACCAAGTTGTCAGATACCGCTATTTGAATGAATCGTACTGAAAATGGTGACATCGCTTCCTAAGGCAATTGTACAGGGAGGATTGGTGATTACAGTATTAATTGTTGACTATTTTAAGAACACTCTTTGCATAATATTGTAAAGTAATGACATTTTGGTGTTAGTCCTTTTAATATCCTTTACATATTGTACTATAAATAAATTGTAGATTTTTCATAGTATTGACAGTGACGACCCTTCTCCTATTAGGTCTTGTTTGGTAGCTTTAGGGCTTCAACTTATTACCACTACTGTACTGTTGTTGTAGATTTTCATTATATTTATTTTCTCTCTTATTAGCCAAAATGTGTTGATTCATCTCAAGACAAATGCTGGGAAGTTCCACATGATCTGCATGATGGCGAGAAAACTGTACTCATTTGTTAATGGGGAAACCAAGGCAGAATTTGTCGATGCATTTAGCATGCAAGAGGTTGCTTTGGGAGGTCACACGTACTTGCAGTTGTTGAAGGAAAAGTTGACAGACTTACTTATTTCTATCAAGATCCAGGTGAGGATCAAGAACAGGAGAGAAGGCAGACTCTGGGTAGTGGAGGATGGTGAGTATATTCACTGCTTATTGCCTCGTAGTGTTACTTGGGATGGTAGGGAGGACATTATCCTACTGTATTGTGGGTTAAGTTGCTATCACACATGTTTGTGCCATGGTCTAAATTAACGCATCTCTTGTTCCTGTGTGTGTGTCTATGTATGTGTATATGTACAGTTCCTTTCACTAGTGCATTTACAGGGCTCATCATATAAACATTCCACAAATCATTATCTTTGAGATATTTGTTTTATATTGTTTTAATTTGGTTCCATATTGTTTTACTATTGCGAGTTTCCTTCTGTTGAATGTAAACAAACACAGCGCTGCCACATTGCACAAAATCTGACGAGCCCCTGTAAACACACTAGTGAAGGGAATTGTACAATATAACCCCAGTTACCCGGCACTTACAGGGATTGAGAGATGCTGGATAAAGAAATTTTTTTGGTTAGTTGAATCTCACTCTTAGGACCCCCCAATAAATCCTACAGGCTGACCTTGCAAATTCGTGTCTCAGAAAAACAGACTTCTTTAACACTTATTCCACTATAGCATAAACAATGCGGCTTAGAAATAAAGAAAATATAAAAATATAAAATAAGAAAAATGAAGAACATGGGTGTGTGTGTATGTGGCAGCGATGGTTATAACTACATCACTTAACTCGCCACCTCAGCCGCCTTGTATATTGTTACTTTTAATGAAACTATATAAGTTGTGGAAAAATCATTGCTGTACTCTAATTTGGCTTTTGAATAAAGAAATTATTAAACTGTAAAATAAAAAAAATGAAGATCATGGGTGTGTTTGTGTGGGAAGTCAATGTGTGTGGGTGGTGGGCTATAACTGCGTGGTTGCACTCCCTCCCCCTGGTGTGACGTCACGGCATACACACAGCCAGCACGGCAACCACACGTCTGTGAGTCAGTTGGTTGATTGTTTGGCTGAACTGTGTCATGTCACCCAGAGGATGGTTTGAGTGTGGAAGGAGCTATTTTTTGTATATAAAATTATTATCTGCTATGGTATTTTATGATTTGCTCTGTAAATAATTTATTGTTTATCATAGCAATAAATATGGCAGCCCATCCCCGTTGCAAGCGGTATTCAAACTTACGATGCTTGCTTATTTTGAAGGAACTTGTATTTTTATTATTATTACTGTACAGTATTTCAATTTCATGCCAGTTAGTTGAATCTGCCAGTTGCATGGATGCCGGATAACCGGGATTCTTCTGTATGTGCATGTCTGCATACATGTGTGAGATAGGGGTACCTGTACTCATTTACTGAAGTCAGTCGTATTCATGAAAAAAGACATTAATAATGCAATACATGAGCTGAGTACTTTGAAATTGGCTATAATATAGCTGAGGAATTTCCAATCTTTAGTGACAACCTTGTTCATTAAGAGTTATAAGACAAGGAATAATTTATTTAGTTTTAGATGTACCTGTATCATCAGATATGTGAAATTAATTATTTGCCAGATGCTTCTTAATAATAGCACGTCATGGGTTTATTTTCCCACTTCATAAAGTTTAGCTTGACTCATGGCTGTAGTTAACTGCTGATTACTATTTTCAGCTGACATCAGAAAATTTGCTGGAGCAGGAAAAGGAATGGGTAATTTCTTGAAGACTTTCATTGCTACTGGAACATTGGCCTCAAAGACTGGATGTGGCCTTATGCAGAAAACAGGTAAATTGAACATCCTGGCAGATGATATCTCCTCATCATCACTGTTTAAGGTCATTTTCCATGCTTGTGTGGTTAGCCATGATTGTCTGTTGGTAGTTCTCCATGCTCTGTAGTCTTTTGCAGCTTCTTTCATTACGTTTTTGTCTGTGATTATTTCTTGTAACTTCTTCCCATATCAATCATGGCCCACCAATAACTTTAGTTTCCTTCACATTCAGACTCCTGCCTCTCTTGACCCACTGGTTCTCTCACATTCTCTTCACATGCCCATATCATATCAGCCTACCTCTATGCAAAACCTTGCCAATAGTCTCAATACTTATCTGTCATCTTGGTTTTCAGTAGGATTTCTTATCTTTCAGTGTCACATTATACATTCATCTCATCATTCTCATTTCAGCTTGCTCAAACTGTCATGTGTCATTCTCTTTAACTGCCATGTTTCACTGCTTCACATCACATTTCTCACACCAATTAAGTGAATCATTGAGGTCTCATGGTGTCAAAAACTGTTGAGAATTGCAAGAAAAACTGTTTAACCCAGTACTGTATATCATGTACAATCAAAGACAAAAGTCGTGTTATGGTTTTGTCCGAAGATTAAATATAACTCGTGAAACATTATGAGAGCCCTACCACAAGGCAGAGCGCACTAAAAGTTTAGCCCATCGGCATATGTTTTCACCAAATTTCACGACACGACTTTTGTCTTTCATTGTACATGACAGCAATTTCAAAATTATTCCTATGCTTTTCTAACTTTGAACTTTGCCCATATCATAGGTTTGACTGTGGTTATTGAACATCTGAACAGAATGCGAGACTTGTCTCATCTACGTGCAATACATCGAGGTGCCTTCTTTGTGGATATGAAAACTATTGAGCCCCGCAGGTTAACTGGAGAGGCTTGGGGTGAGTCACACAGCTGGTATTTTTTCTTTACACACACACACACACACACACACACTACATTGGACTTTCAAGCAATCATTTTCCTTTTTAGTAAACTAGAAATTGATCCAAGTTTTTCTTGTTTCAAGATAATTTTAAAGTCAGTTTAGATCAGAATTTTCTTGCACTGTCATTTTTTCATAAATATCCAGAAATGCAGATTCAGATTTATTTTTTGTATAAGCACAGATACAGATTTAGGTATAAAATACAGTATGGGTACAGTAATTATCATGTAATAACAGTATTATAAACATGATTGAGAATATACAGTACTATCTAAAACCTATTTAACGACTTCTTGAATTGCACAAGAAGTGCTCTATGTACTGTATTAAATATTCTTTTATAGAAATAGGTCAGTTATATATACAGGGGGCCCCCCAAATTTGCAGATTTTTATTTTGCAGTCCTCTATTATTCGCGGATGACACCCTGGATGTACCCAAGAATGTCTGCGGGTAGTTTTAAAGTTGCTGGCATTTTCGTGGCCGGGACAGGGAGCCATTCGTTCTTGAGACAGTAATTTCCTTTAACTGTATTGTATATATGAGTGTGTAGACACACACAAAACACACACAAATAAATAATAATTGGAAAAGTCCTCTCACAAACAATCAGAACCAAATTTATTAAAAATGTGACAGTCTACCCTCAAGTCCATGCTTTATTAATAAAGCATGGACTTGAAGGTAGAGTGTCACATATTTAATAAATTTGGTACTGATTATTTGTGAGAGTCGTTTTCCAATTATTTTTTATGTGTATGTGTTTTGTGTGTGTCTATACATGCATACTGTATATACAATACAGGTAAAAGAAATAATTGTCCTAAGGGCAAACACATAAAGGGAATATACATTTATTTTTACACAAGTAAAAATGTAACCCCCCGGTCAGCAAATGTTATTCGCGGATTTGGCGATTCGCGGCCATTTTGAGAACTTAACCCTCGTGAATTTGGAGGGCCTACTGTATATACAGTATGGTGATATCCCCGTTAGCCATAACAATTGGTGCAGAGCACTTTTGGGACTAGAGATTTCGGGGCAACCAGACTTTCTCAAACCCCGAAAAATTCCTTATCCCCGGAATAAATATATATATATATATATATATATATATATATATATATATATATATATATATATATATATATATATATATATATATATATATATATATATATATATATATATATATATAACCATTGAGCACATGTTGCAGGTTTCATCTGTCCTGTCCATACTCCAGACGGAGCACCGTGTGGACTCTTGAACCATTTGGCACAGAACTGTATTGTTCTCAGTGACATCCCAAAGAATCCTAAAGCCCTAAGTGCAGCACTAACTATGCTTGGTATGACACCTATTGACATCATTCCTCTGGCTCCATATGCTGAGTGCTTGGAGGTGATACTGGATGGGTGTTTAGTGGGCTATATCAGGATGGATGAGTCTGAGGAATTTACACAAAAACTTCGAATAATGAAATCTCAAGAAGAGGTAAGGATGATAAAAGTTTACATGTTGGGACAAAGATTTTAGTAATGGCCTTAAACTTTAGTCCACAAACTTAAGTTGTAGTTCACCCCTTTGTCAGCTTTGGTAGAGATATCATCATAAGTCAAGAAGGTTGGTACATATATGTAAATGTTCAATAAATCAACGAGAGACAGAGCTGTTAAGCATTACAGCTACAACAACAACATTTATTGTAGAAAATCTTTGCCACTAAAGTCTATAAACTTTATTAGTTATTACACAACAACATTATACTGTTTACCCTCCAAAAATAAATGTAAAATAAAAACCCTGGGTTGTTATTTGACAGTTTTACTAAGTGTAACTGCTTCAGGGAGATAGATAACCAATTATACATTCAAGGTGCTCTGTAGGAAAGTGTTGTACAGTCCACGCTACTTATAACCCACACAGATTGCTTGTATGTTTCTGCTAGGAATTTCAAGGTCACCAGTCTGATTTGGATTCATAGTCACAAGGTCCATTGTCCATGCTATAAGTCCCTCTATAGCTGGCAAAATTGTAAGGTTTGCCACACTTGTTGGTCCCAAGGATTCATGAAATGAAGAGATTCTGCTTTATATGTGAGGAATTTAGTGAGTTTTTCACAAATTGAAAGAAAGAAATTTGGCACCATTTACCAAATTGATGTGACAATGCTAGAACAGCCTCCACCTACTCATGAATGAAAAATGAGCTGACTGTTATGTTACAAAAAGTTCTTTTAGATAACAATCAATAGTGATTTTTTTATTAAATTTTGTTGGAAAATTTTTAAACATTGCATTTTTTGGTGAATTTAGATTAGATCATAATGAGGTCACTGTAAACTAAGCCAAAACACATACCATCAAGTAACAAAATTTATGTATATTTTACTGAAATAGTTTTCCTTTGTACTGCATATCCTTTCTCTCTATTGTACTACAAAAATTGGTGGAACTGGAACTCATTAATTAATTATTTTTTCTTACATTTCAGATATGGAAATATACAGAAATAGTACTTATACCAAAACGAAAATATGGGGGGCAGTATCCAGGTCTATTTTTGGTGACATCCATAGCCAGAATGATGCGTCCTGTGATTAACCTTACTACATACTCAATCGAATACATTGGAACTCTGGAACAACTTTACCTTAATGTAGCCATCACTCCAGAAGATATAGAGGATGGGGTATGTATACGGTAACTTCTTTTATTATAAATATGTGCATCAGTTGTCTCAGTGAACATCTCTTCTGGCTGATCAATTGATTAAGAAATCTTGTTGACTGGTTTAACGTTATACATTATATGGCAAAGTGTTGGCTACTCCCTCTTACACATTTGCTTATATTTTACTCCTTCTCCTCCAACCTTACAATTGTTTAACTTTGCCCTTAGTTTAACCACTTGTGTACGGGGTCCCCTCTCGGCTGTATAAAATTGTCTGGCATTAGCAAAATAGAATATTAAATGTTTTTCCCTGTAGTGAAGGTTTTAAACAATGAATCTTGAAATTATTATTGCTATTTGTGGTTGCCAGCGATGCATTTGTTATGCAGCTTGTTTATATATCACAAGGAAGTTCAAGTATACATGTTCACTAAACTGTTGGTCGAGGACCCAGGAACCCTTGAGATTAATGGCAGCAACTAATCTGAATGATTAGATAATCTTCCCCCAAAGGATTAATAGGACTTCAAAAAAGGTTAATTATTATTAGGCAAGAGGGAGGAGATTGGGCAAGTCTGATAGCAAGAACGATAATACTGTAGTGCCTGAATTCTTTCACAGTCACTCTGTATTTCTGTAAATAAGAACTTTGTCTCCATTAGCTAAGTAATATAAGTATTATTTTGGGTGTTTTGTGACATCCCACTTTGATAGGAATCCTTTTAGGAGGCAGTCATTCATATCAAATAATTTGCTAACATATACCGAACAAAATGTAACTGCATTACCCTTAAGTAAAAACTATGTCAACCATAGAATTTTTGTATTTTTTCTGTATTCCTAAATGTGTGTCATATATTTGTTTTTATAAATAATGCATCTGAATCTTCTTTTTTTCATAGGTTCATACACATCTAGAAGTGGACAAGACATCTTTATTTAGCAACATTGGCAAGTTGGTGCCATTTTCAGACTGTAACCCAAATCCTCGAAACATGTACCAGTGTCAGGTCAGTTTGTGGTTGTGTTTTTCCTATTGTCTCTCAAATGAAAAAGTTTGGGGGCTACTTTCATATTGCTGTCTGTCTGTATTTCTTGTTTTATTTTATTTATTTAGTTTTTTTTATTATTACACATTGATATTTCTGTAGAGTGAAATCAGTCTTATTCGGGGGATCAAGCATTATTTTACAGCTCTCTTATAATTAACAAATTAATTAATTTATTCATTCATTGGATAACATATGACATCACAGCTTGTGGTCTATAATGAACAAATGGATCAGCTAACTTGTGCACAGTCTAAAACTATATAATTTAACACACTAGGGTTCCTAGGACATATGTGATGTCCTGGAAACTAGGTTAGAAGATTTTTGGTCCTAAGTCTTCTAACCTGTGTCTGTTATCCCCGAGAATGGTAACCTTCTGCCCTTTTGTCCACTTGGGTTTATCTCAGTTCTTTGTTATTAATCATCCTTCTCATGTCATGAAGGTTTATTGGTCTCTTGAACTGGTTATCAGGTCATAGGCCTTTGTAGATGGGAATTTATCCTGAAATCCCATTTTTTTTTAACCCTTCATGTCTTGGATGACTTTGATTCTTCCTTATCCCTTAGGGATGCTAAGGTGAGCTGGAATTGAGAGGGGTTGTTTGTTTATGTTTTGTAACTGATGACATATGAGGGCGATGACTACGTTTACTGCTTGAGTGACATGTTAGTTTTGTGTTAGGAAATTTTGAAAAAGTGTCAGACTAATTTCTATAACTTATTCCCTGTTCTGGGAACATGGGTTGTCAAACTACAGTATTGAGTACATAGGAGTCTCTTGATCCATAATTGATACTTACAAAATGAATTTCAGGGTCAATCCTATGCACACTGTACCGTGCTCTGCTCTTCTTTCACCCATCTTTTAAAAATTTAAAATCCATTCTAAAAATATTTGGAATTTTTTAAATTTGTATTAATTAGAGAAAGTATCCCAAGTAATATATAATTAATTGTACTATTTGATAATAACATGAATTTGAATGAGTAAAATACATTGATTTTATGTACAGTACTTATTGTGTAATTATTTGCAGATGGGTAAACAGACTATGGGTACTCCATTCCACAACTGGAGGGCACAGACAACTGGGAAGGCATACCGACTACAGTACCCACAAGTGCCACTCGTCAGAAACTCCCACTATGATGATATCAACATGGAAGAATTTTGCATGGGGTTCAATGCTGTTATTGCCATTATCTCCTACACTGTATGTATACCATTTTAAAATGATTAATTTATAAACTGGAGTTTTAGTTTTCCCATAAAACCCAAATTAAATATTTTCGGTTTTTGTTTGCTCGTTTTGTTTTTGTTTGTGGTGTTGATGGATATAGAGTACAACATTGAAAAAATATGCAAATTTAATATGAAAAAATTACCATTTAAACTTTCCATGCCAAGCTGTTTAAATCATAAATGTTGATCGGTATTGATATATTTATTATTACACAAACATCCATCTTCATTACTGTTTTATGGTAATTTTTTACGGTTGAGTGGGTTAGCCTCGACTACCTGTTGGCAGTTCTCGAGTCTCTGTGGTGCATAGTTTCTTGTAGCTTTACTCATCAGTTTCTTATATCTGATGTCATTTCTTTCAGCCTCTACCCTATGTCATTCTTGGCCTCCCACTAAATCTTATTCCACCCAAATATAAACTCCAGCCAAAACCATTTCAGTCTACCTCTGCAAAACCTTGTCATTGTTCTCAATACCACAGCCTCCTCCTTAGTTTTGAATATTGTTCCCGTCTCTCAAATTCACGTTACAAATCCATCTCTTCATTGTCATTTCATTTCGCTGAGCACTGCGTATGTCATCCTCTTTCGATGTCCTTGTTTATTTGCCATACAGCAACACACTACTCACACCAGTTACATACAGGTGCCTTTCAATTAACCTTTCCATTCTTCATTTTGTTATTTGTTTCTTCCACCCAATCTCTTTCAGTCCTTGGGCTTGGTCTCTTACAGGCTCTGCTGTTCCAAGGCTGCCCTTGTCCAATCCAAACTCCTCGTTTAGTGGAGGATCTTAGTATTTTCACCAAACCTTCTTAATTTTTTCATTATCAATGACTTGGTTCCTTTCTATAGTAATATCTCATGGAACAATTCTTGTTCCTACCCACTAGTTACCTTGTTATTCTGTATACCTAACCTCTAGGATCCACAATATTTAGCTTGTCCATAAGCATCCTGTTCATGCTTGTTAGTCTTGTAACTCTTATTTAGCTCAACTCTATCATTTTAATCCACTTTGGTTTCTCACAGTAGGTACTGTAAGTTGTAGCCATACATGGTGTAGGGTGTAGTGAATTATATGTAACTTATTTACTGAGGATCTTTGGTTGTACTGTACTATCATATTATATTTGGAGATGAGTATTGACCAGAGCAAGATATTCCCCTCTGCTAATCACTGCAAACCCAGGTATTGTTTCCCTGGGATCAAATCACTGTCCCTTAGGATATGAGGTAAACACTGTATACACTCAGCCTATTTTATGTTTATTATAGTGTAAGTTTTGTCAATTATTATTATAATTATTTTTGCTATAATTTTGTAACTGTTACCAATTGGTCTTGACATTATATTTTACAGGGTTTTGACATGGAAGATGCAATGGTGCTAAATAAGTGTTCAATGGAGCGTGGGCTGGGACACGGCCAGATCTACAAGACAGAATTTATAGACCTTTCAATGCTTCAGGGGAAGGGCAAAGGACCAACAACTGAGGTATGATAATGTTTCATAATAGCACAAATATTAGTAAAAAACAGAGTTGTCTGTACAATTTTTATGTTGTGCCATATCTTACGTACATATGGGGTATATAGTACATAAACTACCCCATCTTAAGATGTCTGTAGAAGAGACATACTTCTTTACCCTTATTATTGATATGTGTACAGTACTTACTGTATATATTTAGTTCATGCCAAGTGAAATATACAGTCGTTGGAAAATTTTGATTTAGAAATAAGATCTTGTTTGTTCTTTGTGATGAGCAGAAAAGTAGTTGAATTATTTTACTGATACCAAGAACAGTTGTGATATTGTCATCCAACAAGAAAAAAACAGCTTACTGTAAGTACACCTAATTAAAAATTATTCGGCACCCTTACGGAGTGATACAATATGACACCACACGAGAATTTTTGAAAAAATTCCTGAGGTACGGTGCATGGTTGGTATCCCTGGCCTGCTGAGTTGTGTACCGAGGCCTGCCCGCTCCACGCTTATGCAAGGTGTCTCCAGTTTCGACGTAGCGCTGTATCCATCGGGCTACGGTGTGCTTGGACACGCCAACCCGCCTAGCAATATCACCATTGTTGAGGCCCACACTGTGTAGTGCGATGATTGCTGCGCGTGTCTTCTCCGAGGTTTTCATCTTGTCTAACATAGCTATGATTCGAAATAAACATTACGATTCCTACTGTTCGCTCAGAAGCTCGACTCAATGGAGGTTGAACCAGTTCCGTTTCCAGCATATTTGATCCATTGTATTCACCTAACAAACCTCCTGTGGTAAAAGTCTATGCTAACACTAACATTGTTTGTCTCACATGAATTTCACTCCCAATTCTCCCCCCGGTGGACCTACTAATCGTACCATGTTTGTCATACTAAAGAAATATACCTCGTTTGGTGACTCATTCCCTGCTTCATAATCATGTCAGTACTGTGCTTATTGTTATATCACGACTACAATACACAAATATTCTGTGTTCTTTGTGCATATGGTCTTATATTACTGGACGTTTACATACTTTCCATCATCTACACTTTATAATGATGTGGGTTTATGTCGTATCTCATAATGTAAGAAATCCATAAATGGCACCACGATCGTTGGTTGCCATGCACACATTAATACAGATTGTGGGTTTGATTAATATATTTCAGTGGGTAATGCTATGCTGTTTAGAGGCTTTTGTACTAACACTTTCTGTATTCCCGTTTATTATCCGTTAAATACTACACGTGGCTACAGAAAACATCATATTTCTTTCACACACACACATACAGAGAGAGAGAGACAGGGGTATCAACCACACCACATAATCACGGCTTCTGTACCAGTGATCGTTGCAGGGGTGTATCGGAGCCAAGGGCGCCGAATAATTTTTTAGTGGGTGTACATTAGATAAGGAACATCCAGTACTGTATTTAAAATTCAGTTTTGTTGCATTTCCACTTCAGATGTACCAGAAATGATGGTAATAATATATTCTTCCAGATAAGTTTTGTGTTCAGAAGGAACCCACATGAGCCTGAACAGAAATCAGTTTTAGATAGCAATGGCCTTCCGTACCCTGGCACACAGCTCACTGAAGGTGATGCTTATTACAGGTCAGATCCCATCCTTTTATATTTTATCTAAAATAATTTCTCTCAAGCAAGTCGTCTCCCATAATATTGCACGGTGACCAGAACTAAGAATAAACAAAAATTTTCACTTTATTTGCTGTCATGCATACATCTCCATGAACCCTCAAACCCATGCTATCCACTGATTCTCACACACACACACACACATACATACATACATACATACATACATACATATATACATACACACATACATACACACACACACACACACACACTAGCTTTCTTAAGGTCTGTCCCCATCATTTCTAGTGCGTCTTTCAACCCATCCTTCTGAATTCTTTGTCTTTTTCTTCTCTCTACTAATATTCACCACTATATTCTCCATTTTATTATTATTATTATTATTATTATTATTATTATTATTATTGTTTTATTTTATTTTTTTACTTCCCAATCTTTTCTCTTCACATTTTTACTGTATATTTTTCTCAGTATTCAGTTGACCCCACATCTTGCTGTCAATTTTATAATTTCTGCCTCTTCTCATTTTTTTTTTCATCTTGTATATACAGTACAATAAAATCCCATAATTTGAAATAATAGGATCACTAGCCCTTATGAATTATGAGATTTTACGAAATATGAGGGACACCTCTCAAGGGGAAAAACAAAACTACGGTCCTTTTTTCTTTCCGACAGTCATTACTCACTATAACCCAGGGTGAGTGGAAACAAGAACACACATGGCCTCACTATCATTTCTTGTTACTGCTTTTATATTTAATACTGCAAAAAATATTTTCTGTGGTACTGTATATACTCTTAGACTTAACCTTGTGCATCTGTGTGTTCATCAATCTGTGTCTTCTTCATACTTAAATTTAATTTTGTTTCTGTGTGATATCTTCTTTTAATAGATGATTCTCAACCAAACTTAGTACAGGGCACCTGCATTTGGGTTTGTTACTCCACAATAAATGTTATCTATTGATTTTAAATTTATTAAGTCAAAGATCAAGATTACTTTTATCAAAAGTATCATACCCTAAACAAAGCCCTGTGCTGGCATAATATTTTTTGGCGTATTTTCTACTTTTACAAATGCTTTTATTGTGATATGTTATTAGAACTCTACAAAGTTAATACAGTGTACTGTACAAGTACTGTATCAGTACATGTATTTGAAATTATCATCCAACCAGATATCTAGAAGATATTGTGATTGTTAATGGTATTTCTATGAATGCCCCAAATCTAATTATTGATACAAGTTTTTTTTATCTCCTCCCACAGTGTTTTTGATATACGACAACGAAAATTTCGTACCACGAAGTACAAGGGTGAAGATTGTGTTGTGGATAAGTACGCCATCATGGCAACCAGTATGAATACTGGGGAGTGTCAGCGTGCCAGTATAACTATAAGAATCAAGGTCAGTCACAGCAATAAATTTTTTTTTAAATTTTCATTATTTTCTCATTTGGTACAGTCCCCTTCACGAGTGCATTTACAGGGGCTCATCATATAAGTATTCTACAGATAAATATCTTTGAGATATTTGTTTTAATATTGATTTAATTTAATTCCATAGAATGTTTACTATTGCAAGTTTCCTTATGTCGAATGTAAAACACAGGGCTGCCACTCTGCACAAAACCTGATGAGACCCTGTAAAGACACTAGTGAAGGGGACTGTACATTCCACCATTCCTAACACTACATTTTACAGGTCTGTTAATTGTTTTCTGACCCATAGAATTGAGAATAATCCCCTCTTAATTATAACAATAATAGTGTGTAATAAGAAATACGTACAGTAGTGTACATTAAATTGGAGCTAAATAACCAGTATTGCTGTATTGTATATATTACACCAGAGGACTCTCCTAGTGTGAATGAAGTACAGTAAAACTATATAAGTATATTTATAATTCATATCTTATTGTCAAGCAACTTTTGCTACTAAGCTTGGGAAACTTTTGTCTCTTGCAAATACTTTAGATGGAAAGTGATGTAAGAAGCAGAATTTTATTGAATGCTAACAGATTTTTGTTGCATGTTTAACAGAGGAACCCTATTATTGGAGACAAATTTGCTAGTCGTAGTGGTCAGAAAGGCATTATGAGTCGGCTGTATCCTGTTGAAGATCTGCCTTTCTCTGAACGAGGCATAATGCCAGACATTATCTTCAATCCTCATGGAATCCCCTCTCGTATGACAGCAGGTTAGTGTTCTTGTTCTCGTATGATGGCAGGTTGGTGTTCTTGCTCTCACATGACAGCAGGTTAGTGTTCTTGTTCTCATATGACAGCAGGTTAATGTTCTTGTTCTCATATGACAGCAGGTTAGTGTTCTTGTTCTCAAATGACAGCAGGTTAGTGATCTTGTTCTCATATGACAGCAGGTTAATGTTCTTGTTTTCATATGACACCAGGTTAGTACAGTAATATCCTGCTTTACCCTAAATCTTTGATCCATGGAACTTTCCATTATACAGAAAATAAAATTCTTGATTTCCAAGAAATTCTGAGAAAAATCTCTCCGTTCCGGGCATTCCAATGAATTTCCGGGTGCTGCATCATGCGCCGAGTGTGTGGGTGTAAGCTCAGAGTGCTCGCGAGCTACTATTGGCTACTACTGTTGTGTGACATAAATCTTGGAAAAATATTATTTAAAATTATCTAGCCAATCATGAGGGTCTTCGTTATTGTTGTGGAGCAACACAGAGTGGACCACGTGGTCCTGCCAGCCAGGCCTGCATCACAACAACATAGCCGTGCCTAACTCAGTCATAGTCATCAAAGGATAAGGTAAGAATTTGATTTACAGTGTACAGTACAATATATATATATATATTTTTAAATACAACTGATTTTATGATAATTTTATTTGATTAAAACAACATTTACCAATCAGTTGATAAGGACATAAATAATTAAATAAGTGGAAAGTTAATTACATCGTGTGAGCTGAGCATGTGTGGGGAGGGGGAGGGCGATTTTGGTAGTGGCAAGTGGTGGTGCTGGTGCTGGAAAAGTTATTGTGATGGTGTTTGGGAAGTGAGTGTGCCAAAGAGGATGAAGTAAAGTCATTTGATTGACAGTGCAGCACAGTGTGGTGTTGGTTGTCATCGTGTGTGTGTACATGAGGTGATGCTGGCCACTCGCCAATCCCTCCTCCTCAGACCACTGTTTGGCCTTAAGCAGATGCTGTCATCTTGAGCTTGTGATGCAGGCAGGCCAAATGGTGATATGATCATACAGGATGGCCTGCACCATCTACTGTGGCAGTTTGGTGCCACAGGTTTTTTCTGTGGCTTATGGGATTATACATATCCTGTATAATGTACACACATCCTCTACACAATAGGCTACAGTAGGCATACACTGTCCACTCTGCTGTGCACAATACTGTACTGTACTTATGGTACTCTTACGCTTAATGAATGTACAGTACAGTATATGTAACTAATCACTTTTTACATCTTATCACTGCTTTAACTGTATTCTTTGCAGATTATACCCTGGTACAGTAATGTACAATTCTGCACAACACAAATCATATGCAGAAACAGTAGAGAGTGAGCAAACTAGCTCATACAGTGGCAGCAGACTATGAACTAACTACTAAGCACATCATAATGTGCCAATTGCAGCACACGAGCCTATGGTTTACGTTCCCCATGCAGATAGACCACCCACGTGCCTGGCACATGATGCAATCGCTCGAAAATTCATTTGAATGCTTGGAACGGAGCGATTTTTCTCAGAATGCTCAAATTATTTTTTTCAGGTAATGGAAAGGTGCGGGGATCGAAGATTCTCGCTAATGGAGATATTACAGAATTCTTGTTCTCATTTGATGACAGATTAGTATTGTTTTGGCAGTAGTCTTTTATAGAGAAAAATAATACAGTGTTCTCATATTACATTTTACAGTATATATACGGTACTGTATACAGTAAAATATATAAGAGAAAGTGTTCCACACTTTAATTTTAAATCTTATATTTCTTCCAGGGAAGTTGATAGAACTGGTTGCAGGCAAGTCAGCAGCTGAATTTGGTAAATCATTTGACTCTACACCATTTGAGTTTTCTGATGAGAACCCTGCACATGAGTACTTCGGCAAAATATTGGAGAAAGGTAATTAATATTTCTTTCACAACCTTTGGAAGGATAACAAGGCATGCATACTTTCTAGTTGTACATCTGTTTTTGTGTCTATCCCTGGACATAGCAAAAGCTTTTAACCAGACTCGGGGTTCTCATTTTGAAATGAAAAATATTGAAAGCCTGATGAGTTGTGACCAGCACATCAAAACTTCAGGCCGATAATTTGGGGAGATCTAGGTGGGTGGCCCAGGCACTGGAAATTTCTTGATGACACTTAATGCATTTTGAGCATACAGTATGATATTATGGTATAGTACAGTACTTGGTAATAAGCAAATTTATAAATAGCTTTCTTCAATATTAGTAAGTTTCACATTCATCATTGTTAATGTATTGAATTCCAGATAACTACAGAACATCTGCTCCAGATTGGTTTTGGTGGGAAAATCACAACTTATATAAATTGGAAAATTTTTATGAAATAGGCAGACAAAATCTTGCAGACAGCCAGGATTAAATATGTCACTGATTAAAAATAAACTTCCACCAAAATTAGTTGATGAACATTTGTTACAAGATCCAAGGGATGTTTAATAATTAGTAGTTTTTCTCGTTATTGTCCAATGTTATAGCCCATATCACTGCTGTGGTACTGCAGTAGATTTCCCCCATCAAACAACCAAGTTATTGTGTTAATGTGTTTTGAAATGCATTTACTACATTAGTATAACAAAGTGACTGAAAAATCTTATCTTGTGTTCTTCATATGTTTTTTTATCTATATACTGTACAGTACAGTACAGTACAGTACTTTGATATCCAGAATTAGAGACACTGTACAGTATTACATATCTTAATATAAAGTATTGTGGTTAAGGGTTCATTCCATATACTGTACTGTGTATATGCGTTGAAGAATATGAACGTGTGTGAATATTTCTATTTCTTGTTTCATCTTCTTTTCTTTGACTTTCTTCACTTGTCCTACAAATCTCTCATGTAATTTCCTCCTTTTCTTCAGGAGTTAAAATTTTTAGATGTAATGAGACAGAATGTTTTCATAGGTGTTAGTAATCAGAATTTGTGCTAAAATTTAGTAATCATCTGTTTTCTTAACAGCTGGCTTCAATTATTATGGCGAAGATGTTCTGTATAGCGGGGTAGACGGACGCATGCTTGAAGTAGAAATCTTTGAAGGTGTTATATACTACCAGCGTCTAAGACACATGACGGCTGATAAATGGCAGGTTCGTAAATTGATATTTTTTGATTGATATCTTTAAATGCTGTACAGCAGTGAAACTTGGGCAATTAAAGTAAACTTGAATGAGATGAAATGAAATAGTGGGGTGGATGTGTAAGGTGACACTGAAAGGCAGGTGGTCCTGTTCAGAGCTGAGAGGGTGGCTGAGTTTTAACAGAACAGTATTAGTGAAGTCGTCCATAGAGGCAGGCTGAGATAGTTTGGGCATGTGGAGAGAATGGATGGGACCAATTGGATCAAAAGGTGCAAAGGCCTAAATGTAGAGTGGTGAACCAAGGGTACGTAGTTAAAAAATGACGGGAGAGATTCTAAGAAATTATATTAGAGTTGGGAACCTGATATGAGAGACTGCAAGAGACTGCAAGATGAAGAGCTGTCAACAGTTAACCACAGCTAACCCATGCTGTGCTAGAATACTGTACATCTGAAACAGCAGTTAGAGAATGGAGGAGTCTGTGTTGCTCTTAATACAGGCCACCTCACACAACTAGCGAGACAGGTCTTATAAGAGTGTTAAACAAAACTTTGAAAATTGTATACTGTATTAATAAACATACTATATGTTGATTATCTACAAACATATTTCTGATGACAGTGCAAACCACACCAAAATTTGAAAGGTAAATTAGCCTTAAAACTTTAATTTCGTTTGTGTCTTAGGTACGAGCTACTGGTGCTGTAGACATGGTAACACACCAGCCAGTGAAAGGGCGTAAAAGAGGAGGAGCAATCAGGTTTGGTGAGATGGAGCGGGACTGCCTCATCTCTCACGGTGCTGCCTACACTCTAAAGGATCGACTTCTTGACTGCTCTGACATCTCTTTGGTAAGTACACCTTTCAAACATTCTTTTTGGCTTGTGTACGTGAAAGATTATAGATCAGGTCAGAGAGACTAGGCATGAGGATGGTGACGAGAATTTATCTCGGTGGACGTTTACGATGGGTTTTCATTTTTAGACACTTCTATTACCACTTTCCTCTCCTTATATTATCTTCATCAGTGAAAACGTTTACGGGGAGTATAAACACGGTGCTGTTCTTTCAATTGTCCATCTTTACACTAATACCATAGTACAGTATTAACACTATACCAGTACAGTAGTTAAATTTCTTCTCGTGGAATGTGAGGGGTGGGGGAATGTGTTAGTGTGTTGGTGAAGGAGTTTGGTGGGTGAGGGTTACAGTGGTGGCTGGAGGTCATGGTGGGTGAGAGTGGATGAGAAGTGTGGTGAACTTAAAATTTTGTCAGTGTACTGTTAGACAATCAAAAGCTTATGTCAAGTGAGGATGGTGGTGGGTAAAGGTGGTGGTGATGAGTAAGGGCGATGGCACAAGGCCAGATATTGCATCATGACCAAGGTCGGCAGTCATGGGGACACGTACAGTAGTCAGCTGACAGCCTGACTCCAGCCGGCTTTGATACATTAACACATTTCCAGTAGTGTACATGACAATATATGTGTTTGTGAATCATTATCAGTTTATTATTATTAAATACAAAATATTTAATTTTTTTTTTTTTTTTTACAAATTAGTAGATAAAGCAACTTCTATGTGTTATTTGGGAAGTTCTTTGGAATATTTCTGAATGTCACTTGAAGGACTCAAGACATGAAGTGCTTGTAAGGTCACAAACCCTCTTCCTGGTGCTATTTACACATTACTCTTTAGAATTTTGTCATAGAGCTGTGATCTTGACCTTTTTACACAGGTATACTTTCACTAACATTAAATGATTCCTTTTTGGCCTAACACGTGTTTTACCTGCTGACTTTTATCATAATTGATCTTTCTGTTTTTGGAATTGTCTAATTTGATATGAAGAAAAGTGGATGGGGAGAGAGAGAGAGAGACACCACACACACACACACACACACACACACACACACACACACACACACACACACGTGAACACAGGAGAAGCTATTGCATTACTCTATCCCCATACAGGGTGGATGATACGTATGGTCTCCTTATTTACACAAATGCTCATGAGTTTCCTTTGCAAACTTTTATGTTACCATTCAGCTTCTTTGTTCAGGGATATTCTTTCAAGGGAACTGCCCTAATACATTCCTACCTAACCTAACCTGGCTGTTGGTGTTGAGCCTCAGATTCAGTACTTTGTCTTACACAGTTATCACACATATTGGGTAATGTTGTGTGTGTGCCAATGAGGTGCCAGAAATGGTGTATTAGATATACATATTTTGTCTAATCACAGGCAAATAAAGTTCCATTATTTGTGCTGCATTGTGTGTTAGTATCAAAGCGGGTTAGGCTTTGGAATGACTACATTTATGTATGTTGCACTTGTTGAATTGTTTACTGTGGTGTGTCCAGGAAGACTGGTGAAGAGGATCTGAACAGTTACACATCCTTGCTGAATGTCACTCTTCAGAATAAGGAAATTGAAGTAGTGACATGTATCACCACTGGGAGTTGCTGGTCTCTTTTATTTTGTACTGGTGGTTTATATGCTCTTGGGTTCCGGCTGACCTCTGCCCCTCAGTCGAGTATAGTAGTAGATAGCCTAGATCTGTTGGCATATATTTTGTAAATAAAATTATCATTCTCTTGTGTGACAATTGATGATCATTAAACTGTGATTATGTAATAGGTGAATTAATCATGTTTGTAAGTTAATTTAGGTTCTTAATATAAACTATGACATTGTAAGTTGTGTGTGCAGGGGGGGGGTGGGTGATGACCTTTACTGGTTAGTGTTAAAGTGAGGGCACCAGGTGACTTACTTCATCGCCACCACTTACTGTTAGCAGCTGCCTGGTGCATAGGGGGGAAGTGGGAACGGTTGAAAAGGTGAGGAGGGAGGGTGTGAAAAAAAGGGTAAATGTGGAGATGAATAATGAGGGAAGAGGGTAGAAGGATGGTGAAGAAAAAGAGAGGGAAATTATGGATGTGAGGAAGGAAGGATTGGAGGGGTGAAAAGTATGGAGGAGCCCGGCAAGTGTGTCACCAGCCGGGGGGGGGGGGCTATCAGGCGGTGGGTCACCCTGTACAGTCAAGGTCGCCAGGTACTAAAACCTTCACTGGCTCGCCCCTGTCCACTTGACTCTCCAAGATTTCCCCGTTTGTTTTGCTCCCCTACCTAGAGTTATTGATTTAGGAGCCCACAGAACTTTTAGCATTAACGTTGTAATGCCCACATGAGGTCCATGGACAAGATGGCGGGAAATGATATCTGTGGATTTAATTATTTAATTATTGGTAAATAACTGATGTGAGAATGTGTCTTACTGGTCTAATAATAAAACCACAATGGATTTACAGTTACGCTGAGACTCTACTGAGGGTTATCCTAGTAATGGGCAAATGATTAAGAGACAGAGAGGTGGGAGGGAGGGAGTGAGGTAGGCATTAAAACGGTGGTAGTGAGAGTGAGTGAGGGAGCTAGCTAGCGGACGGGCGGGTGACCTACATAGCTGTGGAATATCTGGGTCAGTCTTAGTGCCAGCAACCAGCCAGCCGCCGTCGCCAGTGCCGTGTGTGGCTCAGCTGATACTCTCCCTCCCTCCCTCCCTCATACTTGAATTAACCATAGCATCCCTCCTTCACACTAACCACCCTCCCTCCCTCCTTCACACTAACCACCTCCTCCTCCTTCACCTCCACTCCCTCCTCCTCCTCAACCACCAACTAACCCTCCCCCTCCCTCCTTCCTCTCCACCTCCCTCCCTCCTCTTCACCCACACTAACCACCCTCCCTCCCTCCTTTACACACCAACCTCACCCTCTCTTAGAACAAAATCCCAGCAGACTGAACCCTATCCAGCCAACCCATATTCTGCCTAACCTACCGGAATCCTAACTAATCAACCCACACCCCACGTTACCTACCCAAACTATCAATTAATCCACCTAACCATTAATTAATCCATTCTAACCTCACTTAACTAAACATGTGACCTGACCTGACCTGACCTAGGACGCTACAGACTCGAGCTGGTGAGAGTTGTCCTTAGCAATAAATTCAGAGTATTTATGAATGACAAATAAAAACATTTCAAGTTGTGCTGGGAATAGTTTTGATTGGCCACTCGAAACGTTGGAGTCTTGTGTAGTGATTGGTTGCTCTGCCAAGTGATCCACCTTATTTTTACTTGGGTGTATTCTGAGCGAAAGTGTTAGGGCTTTGTTTTCTTTCTCGTTCACTTCAGCCAGAGCACAACAATAACGTCATGATACAAACTTTACTGTGATTATATCGGATTTAACACCTACTGTAACATATTTTGGAGAACAAATTGAACGAAGAGAATATATAGATGAACTCAGCCATAAAGCTTCATTCATATATTTTACTACAGTATCTATGTTATCAGAATTGTGCATGACATCAAGATATGCCGGCCGATTATTCGCATTCATTCATGGCTGCCGCTACTGGGCTGCTTGCCTGTGTCTATATTTAAATAATTTGTTCGTGTTAGTCTTGTCTCACGTACACGACACCGGTGAATGTCATCGTCCACAGCAGGGGAGGGGAGTGACACTTCTCACAGTAGGGAGCGGAGGTCAGGTGGATGCCGCCTGTGGTCGAGTACTATAACTTAACACTATAGTAATGCTCATTATTTGTTCCACATATTATGTTTCGTACTAATCCTACTCCCTGCCACCAGGCCTGTTAGGGTGACAAAGCTTCACTCGGTCTCAGCGTCTCACCATCATACCCCTCCCCACTCGTGTATGGTGGGGAAACCAGGTGCTGGTAATAGTTGTAATAGGTAGTGGTGTGGGAGGGGGAGCAAGGGGTAGCATATACACGCAGATATACGTTGCCCCATTTTTTTTTGGGGGGCACAGAAGCGTTTACAGCGCCCAACAGGGAAGCATGCCTTTATGTCTCATGAGTTAAGGGCGTAACCCTCTAGTATCAAGATGGGCGTCAGCCAAGTGTGGGCCACCGACCCCTCTTCCCACTCAACGTGTACCACCTCTTTAACTTCATTCGTTCTTCCTAACATCCAAGCAACAAATAATACACATTTTCTTATTATTTGTCTTTTCCATTTTCCTTTCGTTCTTTTTTATGCCTGTAATGTAATGACAATGGCAGGAAATTTGCATAGATAATAAGAAGATAGAAATGTGGCCAGAGGTTGTGTCGTACACGAACGCTTCCCGTTTATTGATTGTAATGGGAGGCCAGGTGTACCCTGGGGGCTCTCCTCTTGTCACGGATTCAGAATGTAGGTTATTATCTCCCGCTGCTCCCATAGAAAGAGATATCGACTTGACCGGCGTCCTTGTGCCCGCCTTAGTGAATACCTTAACAAGTAACAACGATAATTTTTTCAAACATTGGTAGATATGTCTTGGTGAGACGAACTTGTCCTGCTTGAATTAAAGGTGAACACACATATATTCGTTGATACATTTATACGTCGATTGTTTAAAGAGGAAATTAACCTTACTGTTAATGTGATAGGATAATACAGTCGGCAAGTGTCGAACACTTCATTTGCTCATCTTAGTTAGGCCAGCAGCAATGTGTCTCCGTCAGTCAGGAATGAACGGATGTACTGGCCCTTGTTTGTCGTGGGTACTCGCCTATTAATACAGGTCTTGTCACCCTCTAGGGCCCGGATACACATAATTTCTCACAAGCATACCTTCAAGCCCCAAAAATAGCATAAAAAAAATTACCAGTTAGCTTGAGCTTCTATATTAACTAAAAACGTTCACTTATTATTTATAATACCGAACATGATCTTTTGGAAAATATGTTGTACTTTGTGTCATCTAACTGGTGCTACATGGACGGATCTAGTTAGGGTATAGTAATAATATAATTATGATG